TGTACTGTTCCATTTTTTGTAAATATTCCCTATGCTACAAAACAATTTCATCTTTGTCTAAAAGCAAACTATTTCTTCCTCGAGTTTTAAATTTAAAATTAAGGGTTTTCAAAAGCTTGTAAAGTTTAGTTCGCTTAAAAGTAGATAAATGTGGATCATCATTGACTTCTTTTAAAACCTTATCGATTGTTGGAAGTTCATTTCTAAAGAAGAATTGATGTACTTTGCGCCTTATTGCGTTTTTATCAAAATCATCCACAGAGTCGCAAATTTGTTTATAACAGCTTTCTTTTTGGTTCAGAAAATTAATGATTCTGCTTATTCTCCTTCACAACATTAAAAACGGTTTTAGCGCATATCCCTGTTTTATCAGCAACATCATGTACCAACATATCAGGGTTCTAAAAAATTTAATGTTTATACATATTAAGAACCATTTCTTTAGTACGAATGTGCAAATGTCCCTTTTTCGGTCGCTTTGTAGGAGGAGTAAAAACATTTGTCGGCACTTTATCTGCTGTGTCTGTGGATGACATAATGTCGGTAGACGAATAATTAAAACACTAACAAAACGTTTTTTAATTTGTAAAAATCACGTAAAAAAACTATAATATAAGGAAAAATAATAAATCAAACATACAAAATGTCCAAACTAACCAACACGGTGAATGCAAACAACTAATTATCCAAATTGAACTGAATTCAACTCTGACAAAAATCTTTGAGACTAATCGCAAATATTATTAGTGGTTAAAAAAAATCATCTTGATTTTGATTTTTGATTTTTCTTATATATAAACCTATTTTAGGCGGAAAGAACTATGAATGTGCATAAAATTTAAACTGAAGAAAATCCAATGTTTAAATTTAGGTCACTCTCTCATGTAAAGAGTAAAACAAATATTCTGAACTTAGTATTTACGGTCTCAAAACAGATTCTTGTTTTTCAATTTTAGTATTGGCAGAGGTATTTATGTAATGTTGGCTTTTCTACAGAGATGATCATGGTTTCAATACAAAGTCACGTTCATCTATATTCCATCAAACTCGAGGAACATTCATCGTTTTTCCCGCAACTGACTAAATTATTTTAACAATATTCCCGTAAATGTTTACTAGGCGTAATATTACATACAAATACCTATTGATTCGTAAAATTTGCACCCTCATCGTTTTTCCCACCAGCTCCTCATATATTTATTGTTAAAAATTCATATAATAGGTACATATTAAGTTATATTTGGAAAACTACTTATAGGATCCAATTTTACCAATTAGAAGTTCGAACGAGTACATCTAGAAATAAACAATATCAAATATTGAAAGACTGACAATGTTATTTTTTTCGGCATTTCATCTATTTTGATTCGGTGGAAATACTTAGTTTGACCAAAAAAGATCTGCGGAATCATGAATTCCCCTGTAAGCGACAATATTTTGATTATAGTAGTTAACTATGTATATTGACTACACAGAATAAGCGAATAACTTTTAAAAATATTTATGGGTGATTTTTGGTGTCCATTTTAAATAATTAGAGATTTCTAACTTCATCACCCTGTATCTCAAAATCTAGTCATAGGATAAGATTGGACCCATGGAAACTTTTGATGGGGACATAAAGTAATTTTTCTACACCCACATGGATATTAGCTTATATACGCACAAATTACAAAACGAAAAAGTATGCTATTGCGCTCAACTGAACGAATAAATTTTATATCTATTCTAGGTAGTGTGAACACTGCAAAAAATGATAACCTAAAGTATTTTCTAAAATTTGTAGATTTTTGTTAGTGGGTCGTAGAAAAAATATACTGTACCACTCGAATGCATACGGCGTCATGCCCAAACTTCGTCTTCGTGCAATATGGCTATCACATCCACTCTTGTTGCACAAACTACCATTACTCCCATTTGCAAAAGAAAAGTGCGTGGTCCTTTTGGGTCTGTTAACCACAAAGCACTGTGTCTAATCACAAATTCGTGATTATACAGGGTGTTCGTTAATTAATGGAACACAGCAAAACTGCAGATTCTATGGGTAAAAATATTGCGATTTAACCAAACTTATCTTAGTCCAATAGTTAATAACCGAAATACAAAGTTGTAATTTTCATTTCTTTTTTTCTTAATATTTCATCAACAGGGCTACATACTGGTTCAAAATTATGAATTTTAAGGTTTTTGGAGGCGAGAAATTCAAATCCTTTCTGAGTTCGGATGTCACTTGTAGAGGGAACCACTTACGGTGAATGAAATTTCTTCAAAATGACTAAACTTTTTTGTGGTATGGTGTATTAGCACAAATGTTAAATATTATTTTTTACATATTTTTTACGCAAAAAGGTATACTTTGTAAATGTCGCGCCGAATGATCGTTTTCTAGATATCAATTATTCAGTACACCTTTTCAAATTCCCAAATGTAAAGCTACGTTTTCCTAGCTACGTCAAACGCGATCGCAAAACGCCTACGGCATACGCAGGGCGATTCACGCAGTGTGAGTTGCGTGAAAAATATTTTCCAACTTGGTGCAAATCAGTTAGAATTAAAACGTTTTACAGTGCGTTGAGTATTAAAAATGGCTAGTAATAATAATAATATGATGAGAAAAGAGATCTAGATCTCATCACGATGGAGCTGCAAGAGGAAAAAGAAGAAGTATTATAATTATATTTAAGATGATCTTTCCAGACTATTTTTTTACGCCCTATCAGCTTTGTTTTATCGCTTTTTTGTAATTCGTTTCCTAAGTTTTCTCTTAAAACGTTAAAAGCTGTAACTGAAACTTTTGAAAATTCAGAACATTTCTACGGAATCCGTTGCTTTAAGGTTTGAAAATCGTGCGTGAATACCATCAGACGTTTTTAACATTTTACATTCACCTGGATATAAATTAGACCACTTTATTATTTTTTAGTGTTACTATTATGAGTTGGTATACTCTCATCCATTTTTAAATGTTATTATAAAATGCGACCTAATCATAAATCTGGGATTTAACTTTTCCAGTCGACGTTAAAGCACAACCATTGAGACAGTAGAATGGAATAGATTGCCGAGTTGCTTATTTTTAGTTTGTGCTGTAACTGACTTATCTGTTTTGTTTCATAGCGATCTGTAAGAGATAGACTATAAACTCTGATGGATGTCAATGTAAGATAGATCTCCGACAATCAGGGTGCCAGCCAGTGTCTTAACTGCTCGATCACTGGACACTTACTGTCCTGTGATCGAAAAATTAATTAGTAACAAAAAAATATAATCCAATTAAAATTCCCCGATTTGTTTAAAATTTTTCCTCAGCCATTATAACGGCAACGTCGGAGGTCCGTCATGACTTCATGTACTATTCCTGAAATTATGTTAAGTTAATTTAACTTCCTCAATTCGTCTGAAAATATATGACTGGAGGAATAGTGCATGAAGTCGTGATGGTCCTCCAATGATGCTGTTGTAATGGCTGAATGAATGAACAAGAATCTGTGAACCTTGATTGGATTCGAATCTTTAGTTTCTAATTAATTTCTCGTTTGCAGGACAGTAAGGACGTCATGTTAAAATACTGGCCCGGCAGGCCATAGATCACAGATTCGATTCCAGCCGTGGTGCGCGAATTAAAAAAAAAGTTTGGTTTGATTTCACCTTTGGTTGTTTAGGAATTTATTCTTGAATTTCCTACTTGTTTTTCGTTGCCCTGCCAACAAAAATTAATATCTCGGCTTAAAATCAATAATATTACCTAAACGGTTTATTTGAAACGTAAAAATAGTTAAAACATTTTGCTTTATACAGAGTGAATCCCTAAGTTGATACTTTTTTTTTAACTCTGCATAGAAGTCATTAAAATAAACAACTTTTTCAAAAGAACTCAAAAATAAAAAACTTATAATTATTAATTATTGCAAAAGGAAAATGTATAACTGTATAACTTTCATCAAAAAATGTTTATTTCATTCATGCATTGTAAGAACCATTCACAAAAATTAATTTTGCGGAGGAAATGTTCAAGTTCAACGTGAAAGGGATACAATTGATTTTCCCGCAGTTGTCCACACTTCTTCGACTTATCCCACTTAATATGCGATGATCCACTCACTTATCTAACAAGTCTGTGACAACATTATTATTTACAATGTGTTCTTTAATTTACCATACTAAAACATATACACACTATTGACATACTTACAAAATGAGGCCACTGCATTACAACATTCGTGATTCATATTCTTAAAATAAAAAAAAAAAACAATCATAGACATACTTATTAATTCGGTTAACTTTTTGAACACACAAGTTCAGGCCCTTTTTAGATTTATTAATTCTTTATTTTTGTTATTTTTGAGTTTTTTTTTTTTTTTTTTTTTTTCTAAAAAGTTATTAGAAAAAAATGTTTATTTTAACGACTTCTATACACAGTTAAAAAAATTATTAACTTAGGATTCACATTCTTTTTTTTGTATTTTTTATTGACATCGCGCTGAATATGTCACTCAAAACAAACTACAAATGCCAACATGATGTGAATGAAGTCAGTTTGCACACTTTTGGGACTGATGTATAATAATCTAAGAATTTTGAAATGAACTGTAAGTATCCAACAAAAACACAATAAACTTCAGTGTTATCGGAAATAAAATCAAACTCTGTCCTTTCCAGTTCATTAACTGTATATTCGATCATCAGAACAACTTCTACAGATCATAACTAATTTCCTATTTTTCACGATTAGTAACTAGGAAATGATATAAAGAGTGTGTACGTGTTTTATAATCCCATATTTAATTACTCAAATGTAAATAACCGCTGGACCAACTTTATAATGTATAACACAATTAAAATAGCAGTTAAAGTTTTCCTAACTGTTTATTAGTCATTCTTACATTAGATTGTTTTTTATTCTGTTACAGAATGGTATAGGTTTAAAAACATCGACACCAGTCATCAAAATATCATACATTCAAAGCATGATATCAACATTTAACACAAAAACAATTCTTCAAGCCTCGCCATTTATTTCTGTTCTTTCCAAATCTGTTGAAAAGGCAGTATCACAACCTACTGTAGCTCTATCTGTAACAGAAGGTTTGTGTGCTTCTTTGATGCTATTAAAATTTGCAAGTGCGCAACAAGAAAAAGACAATGATTTCCAGAATGTTTGGAATGCCGTTTTAGATATGGAGAAGCAAATTTTCTTTTCTGAGAAATATTTGACAACCTGCTCTGAAGATGGTAAATTATTACTGTAATTAGTTTTATATTCGTAACTTTTTTCTTTTTCTATTTAAGGTTTAGTATATTTGATGCAGTTCTGCGAATTACTCTTGGTACAATACCCCGAAAAAATAAAAAAACCAGAACCAATCCATAGAGCAATCTTATATTGCTCAACACACTCCTCGAGTGGTACAAGACGTAAATGTTTGTCAATACTCAAAAGGATAGTATGTAGTTTAAGCGGGGCCAGTTTTGCAAGATGTTTGTTCAGGGAACTCAACAAATTCTTAGATACAAATAAAATTTTAAATAAAACCGAATCAGACGATAAAGAAAATGAAAGCAGTAATAGTTTGACTTCACACTCAGTTGTAGAGTGTATAACAACCTTGTTTTCATTATCCTGTACATGTGTGGAAGATATTCAGCTATTAGCTATAGACTCATTACTAGCCACACATCATCCTGCTGTGGTAGCTTTAACTCCAAATTTGTGGATAAAAATTATCAAACATTTTAAAATTAAACCTAAAGATTTAGTAGCCCAAAAATCCTTACAATTTAAACAACTTCTCATTGAAGATTATGCAAATAAACAAACATTCGAAAATGCTTTAGCTACCCTTGTATCTGTTCACGGTGATATTATATTACCTGACATCACTAGAAAAGTTTTAACACAATTAGAAGATCCTAGAATATGTCAGATATCTAAAGACGATTATTTCATATTTTTAACACCGGAAGGGGAGCTTTATGATAAAAGTGTAATACCAGGAGATGACAGTAATGCAGAAATCAATCTAAAAAGGGAAAGCAAAGTTTATAGTTACAAGGACCAAATAGAAGAATTACAATTAAGAAGAGAATTAGAGGACAAGAGGAGAAAAGAAGGAAAGATTAAACCTCCTAAACTCACTCCTAAGCAACAAGAAGCCATAAAAAATCAAACAATAAAAGAACAAGGTATTAGAAACAGACTTGCAGAGTTAAACACATTAATTTTAAATTCCATATCCATGATACAAGCAGCGGCTAGAGGTAACCCACTCCAATTATCGTTATATTTTAAAGATCTTCTCCCATCCCTTCTCCAAGACTTGCAATCACCTCTAGCCGCTCCTTATATTTGCAAGCTTTTCACCAGTCTCAGAAAAACTGTATTTTCTGATGAACTGGACACTCTGGGAGAACTAATCTCTTATGTCACCCTAAGATTAGCCAAACCACAATGTGATTTAGACATTAATTGGGAATCCGAAAATCTTAACAAAGCAATGGTTAGAACTGTATCATTAATTCACCAAAAGACTGTTCCTAAAAAGACTGAAGAAGAACATACACAGGAGTGCTTCACAGTGCCAGCTTTTTGTTATACATTTCCATTTTTAAAATATAGTTTGACCTCTAATTATGCCAGAAATCACGATGAGTTACTCCACGATGGATTACAAATTATTAACGAGCACGCCAAATTACGAGGATCTGAGGATAATGGTATTAAAGACCTTCATCATCCGAAGTACTTGCCAACCAAGCAAATTTTAAGCCTTCTTGTGGATATTATTAACTCGACAAATGGTAGAATACAATCACAATGTGAAGCTTGCCTTTTAGAAGTAGCTGCTTGTATCAGCGGCAATATAGGTTGTGCTAAAGCCACCACTGAAGAAATTGACGTATTACTTGGTGCCTTACAAAGTCCTGCTACGGTAGTTCGAGATGCCGCTCTTAGAGGTCTCAATATCGATATTTTATCATTACCAAATTTTGAAACTAATTACGAATACGCACTGAATGTTTATAAGAGAATTTGGATTGCGAGATTTGATGAAAACGAGGAGAACAGATCGCTAGCTCAACAACTTTGGGAAAAAGCCAATATGGAATTTCCTGTGATGCTTAGTGATATATTATTAGATGATATTGAACATCCTGTAGAAAGCGTCCAATCAGCAGCTGCTAAATCTTTGGCAGCTCTTCTTGAAACTGATCAAAGCCAGGTTGAAGATACTTTAAAACATCTAATACAACTCTACAAAGATAGACTAAAAATGATACCAGCGAGAGTAGATGAGTTTGGAAGAGAAGTCGAGAAGGCGATTGATACTTGGTTCCCTAGAAGAGGTGTGGCCCTTGCTTTAGTTGAATTGGCACCACTTTTAACTGATGAACTTATCGCTGATCTGATTCAATTTTTTGTATTTCAATCTTTGGGAGATCGGAATGAAACTGTACGGAAAGAGATGGTAAACGCTGCACTAAGAGTAGTAGATTTTCATGGAAAAGAAACTGTTGGTACGCTGTGGCCTGTTTTTGATGACTTCATGGGAAAATCATCTAAGTCAGCTACTTATGATGCTGTAAAACAAGCCGTTGTAATTCTTATGGGATCTTTAGCTAGACATTTAGACAAAGATGATCCAAGAATTAAACCAATTGTTTTAAGGCTGATCCAAGCTTTAAGCACTCCATCACAAACTGTTCAAGAAGCAGTAGCCAATTGTTTACCTCATTTAATACCATCAGTCAAAGACGATTCTCCTGGTTATGTTAACAAACTTCTACATCAGTTGCTTAAAGGAGATAAATATGGTGAAAGAAAAGGTGCTGCCTATGGTTTAGCGGGTTTAGTTAAAGGAATGGGTATATTAGCTTTAAAACAACATGATATTATGACTAAACTTACTGAAGCTATTCAAGATAAGAAAAATTACAAGCATAGAGAAGGAGCTTTATTTGCATTTGAGATGTTGTTCCAAATGTTAGGAAAACTATTTGAACCTTACATTGTTCACGTTTTACCTCATCTTCTTCAATGTTTTGGAGATACTAGTCAATATGTCCGTACAGCTGCAGATGATACAGCAAAAGTTGTTATGAGTAAACTATCCGGACACGGTGTTAAGTTGGTTTTACCTTCATTGTTGGCTGCTTTAGAAGAGGATTCTTGGAGGACCAAAACTGGTTCTGTCGAACTACTGGGTGCTATGGCTTACTGTGCTCCTAAACAATTATCTTCATGTTTACCAAGTATTGTACCAAAATTGATTGAAGTATTGAGTGATTCTCACATGAAAGTACAGGAAGCAGGGGCAGATGCATTAAGAGTAATCGGATCAGTAATTAGAAATCCGGAAATTCAAGCTATCGTTCCAGTTCTATTGAAAGCTTTACAAGATCCTTCAAATAAAACGTCAGTTTGCTTACAAACTCTTTTAGATACACAATTTGTACATTTTATTGATGCACCATCTCTGGCTCTAATTATGCCAGTAGTCCAGCGAGCTTTCATTGACAGATCAACAGAAACAAGAAAAATGGCAGCTCAAATAATTGGTAACATGTACTCGTTAACAGATCAGAAAGATTTGATGCCATACTTACCTACCATTATACCAGGTTTAAAGACTTCTTTGCTAGATCCCGTGCCAGAAGTTAGATCAGTAAGTGCTAGGGCTTTGGGTGCTATGGTTAGAGGAATGGGCGAATCAAGTTTTGAAGACCTACTCCCATGGTTGATGCAGACTTTAACTTCTGAAACGAGTTCTGTTGATAGATCAGGAGCAGCGCAAGGTTTGTCAGAGGTTGTTGGCGGACTTGGTGTTGAAAAACTCCATAAACTTATGCCTGATATAATTAGTACTGCTGAAAGAACTGATATTGCTCCTCATGTCAAAGATGGTTACATTATGATGTTTATTTACATGCCTGTTGTGTTTACTAATGAGTTTACTCCATACATAGGACAAATTATTAATCCAATATTAAAGGCTTTGGCAGATGAAAATGAGTATGTCAGAGATACTGCTCTAAAGGCAGGTCAAAGAATCGTTACTCTTTATGCTGATTCTGCAATTTTACTTCTATTACCGGAGTTAGAGAAGGGTTTGTTTGATGAAAATTGGAGGATTAGATACAGGTAAGATTTTCTCATAAAACTCATTATTATTGACTAATATCAACATAATTACAGTTCTGTGCAACTGCTTGGAGATTTGCTATACAGAATCTCTGGTGTAACTGGTAAAATGAGTACAGAAACGGCTAGCGAAGATGATAATTTTGGAACAGAACAATCCCATATGGCAATCATTAAATCTCTAGGCGCGGAAAGACGTAACAGAGTTTTAGCGGGACTATACATGGGTAGGTCTGATGTAGCTTTGATGGTTAGACAAGCTGCACTTCATGTATGGAAAGTTGTTGTTACTAATACTCCCAGGACATTGAGAGAGATATTACCTACGTTATTTGGTCTTTTATTAGGGTAGGATTATGATGTGGGTCTTATATTTGGTATAATATACAAAATATGTTTTAGTTGTTTGGCAAGTGACAGTTATGACAAACGTCAAGTAGCCGCCAGAACTCTAGGGGATTTAGTCAGAAAGCTTGGAGAAAGAGTTTTGCCGGAAATAATTCCAATCTTAGAACGTGGTTTACAGTCTGATCAATCAGATCAACGTCAAGGTGTTTGTATTGGATTATCAGAAATCATGGCATCTACATCCAAAGAAATGGTGCTCACTTTTGTAAATTCTTTAGTGCCAACTGTGAGAAAGGCGTTGTGTGACCCCTTGCCTGAAGTTAGGCAGGCAGCTGCCAAAACTTTTGACAGTTTGCACTTCACTGTAGGTTCACGAGCATTGGATGATATTTTGCCTACACTTTTGAATCAATTGGTGAGTTTAAAATTACTTAGAATTAAGACAACATGTAACAGTCATTTTTTAGAATGATGAAGATCCAAATGTAGTTGAATGGACTCTAGATGGTTTGAGACAGGTCATGGCTATTAAATCTCGGGTTGTACTTCCTTATTTAGTTCCTCAGCTAACTGCTCCACCTGCCAATACCAAAGCACTTTCTATTCTTGCTTCTGTAGCTGGTGAATCCCTTAATAAATATCTTCCTAAAATACTACCGGCTTTGCAAATGACTTTAGCCACTTCCAGAGGTACTCCAGATGAATCACAGGTAAAAGGTTATAAAATATTCCTAAAAATGCGTGTCCTGGAAGATTATTTTCTTTTTAGCAAATGGAATATTGCCAAGCTGTTGTTCTATCAGTAGTTGATGAAGTTGGAATCAGAACTGTCATAGACACAATGTTAGAAAATACCAGAAACGAAGACGCCGATCAAAGACGAGCAGCTGCAACTTTATTGTGCGGTTTTTGTGCAAACTCCAAAGCTCAATATATGGCACATGTTCCTCAATTATTGAGAGGACTCATTCATTTATGTACTGACTCAGATAAAGAAGTCCTACAGATGTCTTGGGAAGCTCTAAATGCAGTAACAAAAGTAAGAATAAGTTTTGAATTTATGGTGAGCTGTTGAGCTCTTAGCATTGATTCTTTTTAGTAAAACAATATGTCTGAAAAAGTTGGCAATAAATGAGAAATTTATTTATTATTAATTTTACAAAAAACTCTGCGTCACATTACAGCCGGGTGCACCATTGCATTCTAGAATCAATTCCAATCCTAGGTCGGCTCTAGGATCAGAATAAGTTTTAAATTGTACCAACCACAAATCAGAGTTTTATGTCAATTCGGTGTTTCACATCTCAGGTCACCAATATTGTCACTCTAGGATGCAGAATTGAGAATTGTGACTTCATTTTTGAACTATAAGGTAGATAAAATGATTTGCACTTTGTTATTTGTTGTTATAATAAAATTGGCTAGTACATTTAATTGTAAGTATTCAAATTAAATTATATTGAAATTTAAATTAAAAGTATATTTTCAAATAGAGTATAATAGATGTAGAACCAGATTTTATGGTTGATATAAACTAGTCACAGCGAAATAGGTATCACTTATTTAAATTGTTATAACTCCAAAAAGAGAGGAGAAACTTACCTTACATTTTGTGTTCTTATAGTTTAGGTATGTGTCTTTAAGAGTGTGCAAGTTTTAATTTTTAAACATTATCGTACATTTAATAAAGTTAAAAATAAAGCAAATTGATAACAACACCTGTTTATTAATATCAAAAAATTTCAAAATGAACAAAAACTTATAATGTGTATGCCCTCCTCTGGCTCTTAAAACTTCGACACAACGTCTAGGCATAGATTCTATTAGTTGACCAATCGTTCCTTGAGGAATATTGTTCCATTCCTCCTGCTAACACCTGGGGGTCAATTCTCGACTTTTATTCCCATGGGAAAATAAAATTTTCCCATGGGAATTCAGTTTTCGTATTCTCGACATAAGCGGTGGAATATTTTCCAATGAGAAATATGAGAAAATATTCCCCTGCTTACGAGCATTGGAAATTGTGTTTTCCAATGGGAATTGTACTAGAGTTTGCGCATTAAAGTCGAAAATTTGACGAAAGACCACGCGAAAGTCTAAGACATAACCAAAGATTATTGGATATCTTGGATTTTTAGTGAAATTGTAGTTAAAACATTTTTTGGCGTATTTATACATTGATATTATTTTATTTATGTAGGTATATTATTTTTTATTCTCTTTCACTAAGAAACTGTATAAACTGATTTTCCTAAATCATTTAGAAATTGTGGGAGCTGCTAAGGGACTGGCAAATAACACAAATTGAGTGTAGTAAATTTAATAAGACCTTTTCGAAAATTTTATTATTTTCGTTAATGAAAGAATTTCTTAGTTTCTCAAAACTTTCGTTGCTCTTCCATACAAAAGCTACCTTTTCTTTTTTCAACATGAGAAAAGAAAAACTAAGAATAACTCGACAAGTTTTAATTATTATACGTAATCGAATATTTTCACTTATTCTCGATCATGATAGCGATTGCTCGGCACGGCACCTGCTCCAGCGCGGAGGCTCGGCAGGTAATCGGATACCCAAAAACCACAACAAATACAAATATTGCTAACAGTAAATTTTAAAATATCTTTAATGTTATTGGTTGTTTCGAAATATTCGTGAACTTAATATCAGACATACGTGAAACTACTATTTCCATGGGAATGTCTATTCCGACACGTTCGAGAATTGCATAACCTATTACCATGGGAATATAAGTAGTGGAATATTTTCTCATGGGAAAATTTTCCAATGATCTCGAGAATCGAGCCCCTGTAGATTATTTGGCTGTTCTCGATCCCGCAATCTTCTTCCCATGATGCTCCAAAGATGTTCAATGGGGTTTAAGTCAGGGCTGTTGGCTGGCCACTCCATTACAGTAAGATTTTCCTCTTCAATAAAGTTTTGAACAATTCTTGCAGTGTGGGGCCTTGCATTATCTTGTTGTAAAACAAAATTAGGGCCTTCTAAATGAGCCAGTGGAACGACAATAGGTGCTAATATTTCATAGATATTTCGTGGCTGTTAGAGTGCCATTTTCAAAAACATGTAAGCATGTACGCCCGTTCAATTGAATACCTCCCCAAACTATTACAGAACCACCGCCAAAAGCTCTTACTTTTCTTACATTGCAATCCAAAAATCGTTCTCCATGGCGTCTATAGACTCTCACACGTCCATCGTTGGAGTAAAGGCAAAATCTTGATTCATCCGTGAAAAGAACATGGCTCCATTGATGAATATACCAATTTACATGTTCTGCTGCAAAGTTTTTTCTTGCTCTACGATGAGCTCTGGTGTTAAATGAGGAACAATAGCTTGACTTCTTGAGTATACTTGGACTTCATGAAGTCTGTTACGTGTAGTCTGTAGAGATATGCGTCTACCAGTGGCCTGAAAATGTAAGTTTCTTATGTGTGTAGCTGTTCTTATCCTATTTTGTAGGGATAATCGTACAATTTGGCGGTCCTGTCGGGGCGTAGTTATTCTTTCTCGTGGTGTATATGGTCTTCTACGGATAATACCTATGTCTTGAAATCTATTCCACATTCGGTGAATCGTTGGTTGACTTGTTTGAAGCAAGCGGGCTACGTATCTCTGCGAACGTCCTTCTTGTAATAGTGTAACGGCTCTTGCTACTTTAATTTCACTTAGATGCCTTCTTTGTACAATATTCCTTCCAAGAACATCGTTATTCATAATTTCAAGTCAATTGTTAATGTTACAAACAATTTAATTGGTGTACAAAGTAAAACTGAATGTATCAGATACTTTTATACTTTTAATTTTATGCGTATATATTTTTTTTCTCACCTCCTCATAAAAAAAGTTTTGTTTTTTATATTGAAAATATGCATTTAGGTGTGCTTGTTATTTGTATAAATTTTAATGGAAAATACGGGGGACATTTAAAAAGATTTAGATAATTAATTCAGTGATACCTATTTCATTTGTGACTAGTTTAGTAGGTAATGTTGAAATAAATATAAGAAATAATATACTACCTAATATATCAAAGAACAAATTATTTTAAAACATATTCTGAAACAGAAATGTTCAAACGTTTCCGTCTGCACAAAAAAAAGATTCACGAATATTAGAAAGAATATAACCTGAACTAGAAGTAAACAATAAGTAAATATTTCATTGAAATGCATTTTGAAATTTACCCAATTTTTTTAGAAATAATTCCTTGATTCCATTAAATCAGTTACTTTCAACAGTTTAACACTGTCTACTTTGGCTACTGGTAGACATTTGTTATCTTCTGCAGATTTTAAACAATGTGCCTTAGCAAGTTTAATACGTGTACGTGCTACGAAATGAACTTGAAATTTCTGAAGAATAAAATAATTTTTATTATTTTTCTAGTTTCCTCTATACCTATATAGCTTTTTTTGTATTAAAACAGTACTTAACTTCGACCGTGACAGTATTAAACTCATGGAGACTACACAAGGAGCACGCACTCCATGTATAACAAGCGTACTGTGTTAAACAGAGTATTTTAAGAGGGCGCTAGTGTTCCATAAGTACCAAAATGGCATAAGAGAATGAGGCGGTAGTTTGAAATAAAATAAATAATTCTAATTAATTATTAATTAATTATAACTCTAATTATATTTATTTAATTTAAAAACATTTGACACGTGTTTACGTTAATTAAATAATCGGTTACTTTATTTTCACGCTAACTTCACATTTGTTTATTCCTCTATATTCACACCGGTACAAAAGAAAAATTAGCGACGCTAGTGGTGAAAAAAGAAAGCTTTATTTATACGATAAAGCGCGGACATACTCTGGCAAATGCCACACTTGAGTGCGTGCTCCTTGTGTAGTCTCCATGATTAAACTATTAAATCAAAAGCACCTTCATACAAAAGCATAACTGTCAAGATTAAAAGTCAAAATAAAAGGTTATAATAATATTTTTCTTTTTACTAATATGCCCTGGACTTTCTTCAATGACAATTCGGCTAATTTAGTATAAATTACAATGTTGCCACTAGTTAATGAGTTAAAATAGGTTTTACATAAATTGTTGCCTAGTAAAGTGATATAAATACCCCAAGTCCTCTGACAAAAGAGTATCCCATTTTTAGTTATAGTTGCACGTGTCTTCTTATTTCAGTTGCTCTTTGTCGTTGCTAAACTTTATTAAGGTGCGTTTACACGAATACAAGAAGTCACTTCGAAAAAATTAAGATTACATTTTGTCTACAAATACTAGAACAATTTTTTTTTCGATTTATGTACTAAGTGTATATACCTAATATGCCAGTCTCAAGTTTGTGTTTTTAAATTCTCAATCATGTGTGTTCTGTGTAGACTTTGTTACAGTTTCCCAGCGCCACTTGAGGAACAGCACTGTTAATTAGAATCCAACAGTGAATGGTCGATTAGGATTTTACTTTCTACTTTATAAATAAATTTCCCAGCTGAACATTGATTTTAAGAGTTTTTAAAGATAATCCAAAACAGGTACAAATTCGTGAAACAGATTCTTTGTTAAAAAAATATTATAACAAGAGACACAGAAAATATTTATTAGATAATTCATAATTTTTTTTAATCAATATAATTTTCTTCACAACTGGTCTCTGATTCAGACTCATCACTACTTGCCGTAATGAGAGTTGGTCTAGATCAGAAACATTTTCCCAAATATGATATTTCATACCATTGCACAGTGTGGCTATAGCCCCGATTGTATGGCCAAAATTAAAAAAAAAAGTTTCCCGTTGGGGTTTTTTCCATCATTGGGTTGGCTATAGGGATCCCCCAAGAAACGAAAACTGTTCACAATAACGTTTCTTTCCCTAAATCCCTTCCCCAATCTCAGTCGGAATGTGGCCTTCATCCGGGCGCTACATTATTGCAGTTATAGAGCGAACGGTAGACGCTTGTTTACGATCTTGTGAAAGTTATGGAAATAAACAAAATCAAGCAAGACAATATGGATTAGTCAACTAAAGGTTAGTAAAATATGTGAAACAATTTTTGGGAAGTAATGTTAAATAGAAAATTGTTAGAAATATAAATATAATTTAATTTTGTTGTGTTATTATTAATAAAATTTAAATTGCTGCTTTAACAGATTTTGTAGGTTATACATAAAAGTATTAACTAGTAAATAAAACAAAATGCAGCTGCCACTTGGTTTTTTATGAATTTGTTACAAACATAAAATAGGATACTCGTTTCAAGAGTTATAATAATAAATGAAAGAAGTAAATCTGAAAGATATACAAGATTCAGATATGATTATAATTAGGATTAAGATTTTTTTATAACATTTGATGTTTAATTAGCTATTTGTTTTTTAGGTTCCAATACTTTAACTAAAGCAGAATTCACGAGACTGCAATTGTTTAACGTCATAAAAAATGTGACAAATATTTATGCAAAAACTGATTAATAATTTTTGTAAAAACAAGGTTCACAATACATTTTATCTTTATCATATGACAAGAAAGGGATAATAAAATATTTTGGTGTTCAAGTTGAGAACAAGATGGATTGAAAGTGTCAGAATGAAGCATACATTTGTAAAAAAATCAACTCCTTTGTAAATATTCAAGAACAACAAGAAATGGTTAAAACTTTTACTTTACTTTAGAAAACTTTTATTTACATTAAAGAAATATATTTACATGTCAAATAATAAATAAAATATATCACACTACCGAACCCGAGCGGCGGGTTTTTCGCGCGGGCCCTTAGGGCCAGGGAGGTGTAACCCTCCATTAAATTTATTTTTGACTCAATTTACTGTCAAATATAGCAGCCCTTACTCCTTACCTACGGTATTATTAAGGGATTTTATTTGATTTTGGGATCATGAATGGGAATTTATTTGAGGATTTGTCGTGTCTTTGTTCTGGTTTTTGTCCCCTGAAAAAGCTAAAAAAAAACAGGGTTGTCCTTGTATGTACGTGAGTCTCTTGTATAGTCTATGTTTTAAATTACAGCCCCCAGGCTTGGTGATCGATGAAACTACCCCCAGAGCATAAACTGCGAGTGTATATGGCTCGCTGAATTTGCTCTGTGGGTAGTTTCATTGTTCGGTCTGCCGTCCGACTAGTTCGTGTAAATATCTAGTCTTGGAGTGCTGTTATTTAGTATTTCTGTCGATGTTGGGAGGGAAAGAAGGATGGTGTAGTCTAGCGTCTTAGTCTGTAAATGTCGAGTTTTGCATGTATACAGCCGTGTTTTCTGCGCACGCCATCTCCCCGGTGAATGTTCAGGATATTATCCCTGACATCATCGGGAAGACACCGTTTGTAGAAATTTTCGGCTGTTTTTAATATGTAATCTTTAATCATTGGTGTGTCTGTTTGTCTATGCATGTCTATAATCCTGGCATAACGGTCGTAGCCCAGCGCCAGCCGAAGGCATCTATTCTGTGCAATTTGCAGTTTTAAATAGTGACAGTTTGACAGCCATATGTAAGGATGGGGCGTAGGATAGTATTGTACATAAGTAGTTTATTCGACAGAGTGACTTTGCTTCTTCTATTATGTGTAGGTCGAATGTTAATCCCCTATCTAACTGAAAGCCGAGGTATTTTAATTTGTTTGTGGTCGGTATTTCTTGTTCACCGACTCTCAGGGCGGTTTGAATGCCCTGGCTTCGCCTTTTAGTGATTAGCATGCTTTCAGTTTTTGCAGCATTGATTTTCATTTTATTTTGTGGGGATTAATTTCCTGCTTATATGGTTGTCCAGCTTTCTTACTGCTATCTCTGCCGATCTGTTATTCGCGAAAAGACAGATGTCGTCGGCGTACAGTGCCGTTTGTACCCCATTATCACCCATTGGCATGTCATGGGTCATAATGGTGTACAAGTGGGGCGAAATTACTGAGCCCTGGGGTACTCCCGCTTGCGCAGTGAAGGGTCCTGTTATTGTCTTGTTTATTTTTATATTAAATTGTCTGTCCGTTATGTATGATTGTATTATTTTTACAATATGAACGGGAAAATCACTCGCAAGCATTTTGTAAATTAATCCGCAGGTCCAGACGGTATCGAAAGCTTTTTCACTATCTAAAGCCACTAGTACCGTTTGCAGGTTATTATTTGTTGCCTCTTTGGCACTATGTACGATTCTAATAACCTGTGCCACGGTACTGTGTCCGCTTCTGAAACCGTACTGTTCCCGCGGAATAATTTTTAGTTCGTCTTCTATTTTGTTGAGTCTGTTTAGTATGATTTTGTCGACTATTTTTGCTACTGTGTTAAGCAACGAAATGGGTCGATAACTGTCAATGTTTTTCGGATTTTTTCCCGATTTTAATATTGGGATGATATTTGCGATCTTCAGGCTGCTAGGATAGTGTTGCAGCCTGAAGATTGCGTTTATTATATAGTTAAGTTGTACAACCCCCTTTCTTGAGAGGTTTTTGAGTAATATATTGCTGATGTCATCCGGGCCCGGAGCTTTTCTATTTTTCAGACGTTTAATAGTTTCCCCAACCTCTTTAGGAGTGGTAAAAAATGAATGTGGCACGTGTACCGGCTCAGAAGTGCTTAGGTCCCTTACCAAGTTTTCGATATTATTTTGGACATCATTATTAATGTTATTATTTCTAAATAACGTTTGAAAGTGTTCGCCGAAGGCTTGTCCTTTTTCGGCGTCTGTTGTGCATAAGTCTTGTCCTTGTTTCAAAGTGGGTAGCAGTGAGTATGGTTTTTTTTGTACCGTCTCACTACTTTCCACAGTGAATTGTCATTTGGATAGATTTCTGACAGGGTTTTTTGCCAAATATTATTTCTATGTTCATTAATAGCTGTGTTGATATATTTCGCTATGTCCATGAGTCTAACCCTGTCTTCGTCTCTCCTGTGTAGCTGCCACCGTTTTCTGATTTGGTTTTTGTTATTAGTTCAATAATTTCCGGTGTTGTGTTGTCGTTTTGATTTTAGTCGAGTCGTCTCTAGCTTTTTGTACGACTGTTATGAAGTTTTTTGTGATTTGTTCTAGTTGTTGTGTGTTCGTTATGTTGTTGTTTAGTGTTAATGTTTGGTCAATTTTTCGTCTGTATGTGTCCCAGTTCGTTGTTTTGTAATCAAAGTATTGTTTTTGTATTCTCTTGATTTTTTGTGTGGTTCTTATTTCCAAGTACACTGGATCGTGGTCCGAGCTTAGTGTTCTGATGGTCCTGATGTTTTGCACATCCGGTATATTTTTCGTGACTGCAATATCCAGTGTACTTGGGGTTGAGCCGTTGTATGGGGTACATGTTGGTTCGTCCGTGTAGTGTATAATGAGTTCGTTCTCTTCGGCGAAATCTTTCAGCATATTTCCCGACGGGTTGGTATTTGTGCAGTACGCGTCCCATTCGGGGTGTTTACTATTTAAATCTCCTGCTAGAAAAACTCTGGTACCTTTTGCCATCAGCGCATGCATGTCTGCATTGAGGATTCTCCTAGCGGGGGGGTTGTAGGCCCCAATTATAATATAGTTTAAGTATTTTATGATAACGTACTCTATGTGAGGTGAAATGTTTGCGTTTGGTAGTTGTGCAAATTCAAGGGTTCTATTGACTAGTATAGCGACCCCTCCCGCTGCTTTTTGTCTTACGTTTTGTATGTTTTGTGCCGGTCTATCTTGTCTGATGATGTTATAGTCCCTAATTTTGATTTTGTCCGTTTGTTTAAGATTCGTCTCAGTTAGTATTATAATGTCAAATTTATGCTTGTGAATGAAGTTAGTTATCAAGCCGCGTTTGCTTATCAGCCCGTTCACATTATAAAAACAAATTTTGATTGTCTTTCTATGTGTTGTTGAAGTTAATTTCTAAATTTGTAGGAGTTTAGGTTTGTTACAAAGTTGTTGTAAACTGTAAAAATATCACGTTCGTCTCTACATTTTCTTATGGCGGAGTTAAGGTCCCGAACGGCGCGGGTAAGTTTTGCTATACTTACCAGTCCGTTGAGTATGTTGAACTCGTCATTTAGCGCGAACATGTCGTCCATTGATCCCTGGTTTCTTTCTTCGGTTTGTCTTTGTTGCTGGGTGTGTTGGCTAGCCTGATGGCCGCCTTGTTGCATTCTCCTATTGGGAAGTGGTGGAAACTGTTCTTTGTCTGTCCTGTTGTTTCTGTTCTGACTTTGGTTTTTATCCCACGCGTTTACTGATGGCACGGGGGCTGGTATGAAGTTTCTTTGTGGCCTCTGCGTAAGTTTACGCTCTTCCATCCTTTTCAGACGTTCTATGTATGCAGGACATTGGCTCTAATTTGCCGGATGCTCTCCCAGACAGTTTACACACGTGGCTGGGATGTCCCTTGTTTTCACACAGGTCTTGGTATGGTGTCCTTCCGCACATTTTAAACATTTTGATGGTCGTCCGCAGTTTGCCGTAGCGTGCCCCCACGCCTGGCAATTATGGCATTGGATTATTATTTTCGTCGATTTTCTTAATTCCCATGTAATTCGGGTGTTTTCGATCACACGGACGTTCTTGTTAAGAAAATCTAAGGTGATCGCCGGGTCGGTAACTATTAGATATAACGGTCTGTATTTTGTAGACATCTGGTAAATTTCCCTCGTTTTGATATCGTATGTTTGTATCAGGTCTTCCTCTATGTCTTCAATCTTAGTTCCCGTATTTAGCCCTCTTAACACGAATGCGTGTGAATTGTCTGCTCTGTTGGTGTATGTATGATGGGAGATATTAGATTCCTTGACACTCGCAAGTAGGTCTGTGTAGTCCTTTTTGTCCTCAGCATATATAATTGTTGAATTATTAGTATACTTGATAGTGTACTTTCCTTTAATTATATTTTTTAAGTCGTTTTTCAGACTATTGTGGTCGTCTGTTTTGCCTTCGATGACTATAGGGGGCATGGCCGTTCTCCTGGGTACTATAGTTGTGGTTTTGGGATTGTTTGCTTTGGTTGTCCTGCTATTTTCTTTGGTATTTGTCTTACTCGTCGATGGCTGTTGGGTTTCTGGTTTACGCGACGTTACGTATGCTTCATCATCTGAATCTTCAGTGTCTGTTAACACTTTGTATTTATTTTGCAGTTGTATTGATCTTACTGCTTTTTCTCGTAATATTTTAACAAAGTTGGTAGAAAATTTCCTTGGGGTTTTGAATTCACCCTCTCCTACGTCTGTGTCCATGTTATCGTTTACAGTATTCACCTGTTCTATTGTGGGCCTCTCGAGTGTCCTCTTCCTTTTGGGTAGTGGTTCAGGAGTAACTTTGGTGTTTTTAGGAATTGCGCCTGTGGACCCGAGCGGCTTCTGGCCTGTGAAAACTCGAACATTGTCTGTTTCAGTGTCTATGCCCGACGGTTTTGTTTTCGATTTCTCATCCTCACTAGTAGTCGCTGATTGCGCGTCCGTTCCGTAATTTAGGACTCTCGTGCCGGTAAGGGTGATTGTGGCTGCTGTTTCCACTCCGAGGGCTGTGCTGGGGAGAGTTCTTCTGTACGATGGCTTCTAGTACTGGGATTTGTAGTTTATCTATTTTATCTCTATTCCTTCTGGAGTACAAATTGTCTATGAGCTTAGGGTCATCTTGTTTGGTGGATGCGGGGGTGTTTGTGGCTTCCCTTTCGGGTTCCACCATAGGCGGTTGTGGAACACTACCTAACTGTTTTGTTTACTAAACCTTATAATTAAATCAATAATTTTTATAATATAAAAGTAAATAATCGGAATGCACACTATCTATAAAATGATAAGAAAAACTGGTTTCGCACAAATTAAATAAACCTTCTCGTGTCACGGACAAGGCGATACTGAGAAATGGTTAAAAGTAGCTGGACCTCTGATTCAGGTACAGGCGATTTAGAGGAATACAACGACATCGCATCGACAATAAAAACTTTTTCTTGTAATATAATTGTATATTAATAAACTCTAAATTTTTGTCACTATGTTTAATTTTAATAAAAATGTTTGTATCGCCGTATTGCATTCCTCCATTTTTAATATTTTCATTTTCGACAAATTCTTAGTCACAGACCCTAATAACCATAAAAATAAGTTTTAAAACAATTTTGCTAAATTTTGTTCATTTTTTCGTATAATACGACGCCATATTGGATCCGCCAATTTTTATTTGTAAATTCTGATAACGGAATCGTTATCAGCGATCCCAAACACCCCCTAATACCAAATCGGGGCTCTCGCCGCACTCTACATTGATTGGATAATTGTTCTTTTCTTGCAACCATTTTATCTTTTGTCCAACTATAACATGGAATTAGTTCCACGTACCGCGAATGATAACTGGCATTATCGATTATAATCAAAGAAGAATGTCCCAGACTAGGTATAAATTTCTCCTTAAACAATTTTTCAAAATTTTCTGTGTTCATATTATGCTAATCCCCGTTTTTTGTTTGACTTTTAAATATGAGGTCTGTATTTTTTATAAACCCTTCTTCGTTGCCACCATGGACAATTATATATCGAATTCCATCTCCTGCTTTTTTACTTGCAGTAGCCATTGTTCCATCTTGACAACTTTTTCTGTCACTTCACTTGCTATATATCCACGTCTCATCCATAAATACAGGCTTAAAGTTACCCAGCTCTATCTCCTTGTTAATATGTTTCAAAAACGTTTGTTTGTTTGTTCCAATAAAAACTGTCTGTTACTTCTTTTAAAGCGAATGCCAATTTTTCGAATTCATGTATTATTTGATCGGGCAGAACATTTCAAATCATTCGAAAATCGTTTATGTACGATTTCATTGTTACATATTGCGCACCTTCGTACATCTTATATATTACTTGCCTCAACTTACAATTAAAGCTTGGCTTACTTTTTTAGACATTTGTATGAGCATTTGTTAGTTTACTAAGTCTATAGATAGTTTTCTGCGAAATATTTAATGCCTCTGCAGCCATTTGATTGTACCTCTTTCCAAGAGCCTCGCAAATAGATTTGTGTCTCTTAAAATAGGATGTTTAGGATTAAAGTTTTTGATTAATCACTAAATCGTTTCGCCATTTTGTTGAATACTTATAAAAACTTTTGAAATATCAAAATGTACAAATTTTTAACAAATTGACAATTTCAAAATTATTTTAAGGTAGGATTGATTCCCCACTCGACCATTCACTGTTGGGTTTTAATTAACAGTGCTGTTCGTAAAGTGGCGCAAGGAAACAGTAACAATAGTCAATTTAAAATAACGGTAAAAGGTCGAGAAACGCCGCACTTGACGAGACCACTTGTCCCCTACGTGCGCTGATTACGAAAATGGGGGTTAAAACTTGCAGCAATTGTTGAACCACCCTTAAAATTGCAAAGAACACCCCTAAGTAGGGGTGTTTTTCGACTGTAATTGTTGTTTTAACCCCGATTTTCGTAATCAGCGCCCCAAAAAACATATAAGATGGCTTGGTTTGCAAAACAAGTACAGTCGAAAAACACCCCTACTTAGGGGTGTTCCAACCATTGCTGCCAGTTTTAACCCTCATTTTCGTAATCAGCGCCCCAAAATACGTAGGGGACAAGTGGTCTCGTCAAGTGCGGCGTTTCTCGACCTTTTACCGTTATTTTAAATGGACTACAAGACCTGTCTGTAGGGGTGCAGGAGTATTAGATTACTAGCACTCCTGCACTATGGAGTATTAGACTACTAGTACAATCCATAACCTACATAGAACACGAGGCTAATGACCTAAGTAGTTGAAGCCAATGACACCAATAAAAAAAATATTTTGATAACTGCCATCTGACATAATAACATGATGTACAGAGATGATGTAATTAATCTACGACGTGCCAAAATCTAATAGTAACTTTTTGTTTCGTCCATTTTTCATTTAAACAAAGAAAGCGACTGGACTTTAATATTGCTGCAACACAAATATGTTTTAAGTCTGTTCTACACTTAGGTCAGGCCTGCCTAAAATTAATTCTACAAGTGATTGGTGCAACCGATTTGTAATAAGGGGCATTCACATATAAATTTAATTACTAGTAGAGTAACTTTTTATTTGTTATATCATAGGGAATGTCTTAAGACTAACTCATTAATTTATAAATCGGTTAATATTTATGTATGTTGTTATCAGCAGTTTCAGTTTTAAAAGAATGTAATATGAAAATTAATTTTTCCTTTTTGTTTTTAATAGAAATATTATATGTATATATATATATATATATATATATATATATATATATATATATATATATATATATATATATATATATATATATATATATTGTTATGATATACATTGTCAATTCATAACATTACAAGTAAAAAAAAAATTCACAAACTTATTTTACCTTAGCTAGCTTTTTAATATATTTTTTTTTTTTTTTTTTTGTTTTTTTTAGAGCAGATTCTCTTTATCACTGTGGTGTCGGTTCAAGAAAATAAAATATTTTATAAACTTAATTTATTTAATTCAATTTTTTTTTTTTTTATTTTATTTAGTTTCTTTAATTTATTTAGTTTATTTAGTTTAGTTTATTTAGTTTATTTACTTTATTTATTGAATATTAACAACAATTCCAACAATAAAATACCTTATCTGTAATTTATATAATTAGTTAATACTATGTGTGAATATTTATTATTGTTAGTTGTATCACCCTGTAAAATTAATTTTTTTATTTTTAATAGACAAATTGTATGTACAAAAGTTCCTAATATATTACCAGTAAATTATACAAATTTCAAAAATTTTAACATCAAATAAATGGTCTATCTACTAACTTAATTAAACTAATCATTCATTCATCACCATACACACAATTACTAATTATTATTATTATTATTATAAACAATTTAGTTAATAAATTAAACCTTCCTGTAGGTACTACTTCTTTAATATTATTATTTACACCTCTATGTTATAAATCTAACTTTCTAAGTTTCAATGTGACGTTACATAAAATTTTGACATTTAATCTTCAAAATGTAACTATTTTAAATAATTTTATAATTTATAATAATTTATCTGTCTGGCATCAATTTCCAAGATTAAATATCTACTATTGAATGGTGATATCAATAGCAAAACTGTCTGTTACAATCACACACCAATACAAAATTTTCTACTCACAGGAAATAGTCCTTCCTTTTATCATATCCAATTTCACAATTTCTATTTCATCCAAGTCTGCAGTTCCAATATTTAGCTCTTAACAGATTCTCCATACAATCCTACCAATTAACTTCCACTATCCAATCGAAGGGATACAACTTGTCTATTTTTTATTTTTATTCAAAATGTTAGCACTTTTTCAAAAATAACTTTTTAAATATACCGAAGCCCTAAATTTAGGTAATGCAATTTGAAATCTTCTATCATGAAAAATCAATCCCGTCCCTTTTGATATTACTGACTTCTCTTTTATTAATTTGACATCTCCCTTCAAATTAACATTTTATGTACAGGATGATATATTTTTGTTTTAAATTTTTTTATTTACACAAATATATATTTTACTGAAAAACTTTTAATTTTAAATTTTGATGTTTCATTTCTATTACAAATTCCCAAAATTTGTGTACTCCAATTCTATTTCAAAGAAACTAGAATTGAGGATACCAATTTTACTATCTTCAACTTTATATTTATAATTGTCTAGGATTCCTTTACGTATTGTCTTTATTACATTATACGTATTTAATCAAATTATCCTATACAAAAGTATGTCACTATTATTTTGTCTTTTGTCTGTGTATATTGTTATATTATTCATAAAATTTGTATATCTGCTCAATATTAAAAATTCCCCTTATTTTCCCATTATTTTGCTCTCTCAATATATAACTGTTAACCCCTTGTTCATTTTCAATCAAATATGGGCCCTCATACGGTAGCTGCAATCTTGCACATTTATTTTCTCCTTTATTTGGTACTCTTAAAGCCTTTACTATTACAAGGTCACCTTTTTTAAATACTGTCGGATTTTTAATCTTCTTCATCCTTCTTTTTGTTGTTCTCTCACTATTTTTATACAATCGTTTCCCAACTTGTTCAAGTAATTCATTATAATTTTCACTAACTTCAGTTACCCACGGTCTCTCAGGATATATATTTTTCATCAATAATATTGGCGGCTGTTCCGTAACAGTATTAGGAGTGTTATTTATAAATTTCTCAATTTGGGTCAAATTTTCCTCCCATTGCTCATGGTTTTCATGGACCAAAATTCGAAGATATTTACTTACTTCCTTTATATATCTCTCCGATGGATTTGACGAAGGATGCCTAATACTGGTATATACTGGCTGAACGTTAGACCTTTGTAGCCATGTTTTTAACCGATCATTATTAAAGTACGTAGCGTTGTCCATTATACACTGTTCAGGAATGCCAATTTCTATAAAATACTGTGTAAAACATTCTTTAACCTTTATTGTGTTAGTTTTACTAATGGGATATAATTTTATAAATTTTGAAAAAATATCTAAAATTACTAAAATATGTTTATTATTATTTGGGCTTCGTATTAAATTTGACATAAAGTCAATGGCTGCAATTTGCAATGGTTTTTCTGCCATGATCGTCTTAGGTTTATTTAAATTATGCATATTTTTATCTTTTGCCAATTGGCATATTTTGCAAACATTTATTATTGTTTTAGCTATTGTTATATCTTTCTTCGCTATGTAGTTCTCTCTAAACAATAGCCAAGTTCTCCTGATCCCAGGATGACCTAATGTAGTATGAAGTTCTTTTATTATTTCTAAAGCTAAATTTTTAGTAATGAGATATAATTCCTTAGTATTTACTATTTTAAAATAAATGTTATCCTTATACTGGGCTCTTTGTTTTTCTATTTTAGTTAAATTTACTTGATCGTCTTGGACCTTTGCCAATGAAAATATTCCGGTACTTCGTTTCAAAATATTTACTCCCACCTTAATTTGATTTTTATTAGTGTTTTTACTATCTTCCATTCTAGTGATGGAATCAGTTACTATATTCAATTTTCCTGAAATGTGTTTAATTTCAAAATCATATTCTTGCAATAGTAATGCCCATCTGTGTATACGATTATTCCCAAATTTATTTCTTAGAATGGATGTTAATGCTTCATTATCAGTTTCAATTAAAAATTTATTTCCAAGTAAATAAAATCTTAGTTTTGTAACTGCAAAAATTATGCTTGCTAGTTCCAACTCACTCACACTGTAGTTTCGTTCATGTGTCTTCGTAACACGTGACACAAAACAAATAGGAACTTCTCCAATGTCCTGTTTTTGCAGTAGTACTCCAGCTAATCTTTGCATTGACGCATCTGTTCTTAGAATGAAAGGAAGTTCATACTGAGGATGATATATTCTTAAATTTTTAATAAATTCTAATTTAATATCCTGGAATGCCTGTTCTCTTTCGGGTGTCCATTTCCATTTTACATTCTTTTTTAATAATTCTATTAAAGGAATTTCCTTCAAACTAAGATCAGGAATCAGTCTCTTAAAATAGTTCAACATAGCTAAGAAACCTCTTAAAGTTTTTAAACTATTTGGTCTGTTATAGTTTTGTATAATTTTTATTCTTTCTGGGTCTAAATCTATACACATTTGACTTATTTGATAACCCAAATATATAACTTGTTCTTTAAAAAATTGACATTTTTTTATATTTACTTTTAAACCGGCGTTATCCAATTCATGAAACACTATTTTTATGTGCTCAAGATGTTCTTCGGAATTTTTAGAAAATATCAATATATCGTCAACATAATGAAGTACGAACGACTCATACTTATTTAATATTTGATGTAGTGCCTTAACTAATGAACTGCAAGCACTTTGTACACCGAATGGCACAACACAAAATCTGAAAATTTCTCCATTAATGGAAAATCCAGTAAAATCCCGACTATCTACATGCAGAGGAATTAACCAGAAACTATGTCTCAAATCAATTTTAGTAAATATTGCTGTTTTTGTAATACGACCTAATATTGCTTCTATAGACATTGGTGCTTCATATTGAGGTATTGAATATTTATTTAATGTGCGAGCATCTAAACATAATCTTAGATCACCATCTTTTTTAACAACTACTACTATCGGATTAATATATGGCGTGGTGCTTCTTTCTATAATTTTATCTTTTATTAACTGGGAAATAGCAATTTGTACTCGATCTTTATATTTATGTGGTATTGGGTAAGTTTTTGTTTTAAAGCTTTTAATATCCTTAGTAACTTCTATTCTATGTACATAATTTCTTGCAACTCTAGTCTCTTTCGTAAATAAATTTTTATATTTAAATATTAATTCATGTACTTTATCCTTCCATTTATCATTACAATCAATTATAATACTCTCCACTTCTTCTCCATCTTCTTTTTCTACTTTATACATATTTGTATTTATTACTTTTGTTTCTTGATCTTCGTTTTCTTCAAAATTTACCCACTTTCCATTTATTTGGATTCTTTTATTTTCATATTCAATGATAGCTTTATTTTTCTCTAATACATCCGATCCTATTATTATTTCAGTATCCATGTTCGGTACTATTAATAATTGTACATTTACTATTTCCTCGTTAATATAAATTTTTATAATACTACTTTTATTTACCTCACACAATTTTTTTGAATTTGCACCTACTAGGTTTATTTTTGGAATTTTAATAATTTCTTTTTCAGAAATATTTAATTTTTTAATTAAATTTTGACTGATAAGTGAAGTTTCAGAACCCGTGTCTATTAGCAATTTTACGTCTATATTATTTATTTTACTATTAATTAAGATTAAGCCAAGATTTTTCTCTATCTGTAAATTTTCATGTAAATTTATAAATTCAGTTGGATTTTCCAATGCACAGATATACAAATTTTGTCTAAACGGTGTGTGCTTTTTTAAAAATGGTCAATATTGTCATTATTTTGTATAGTTGGTATGTCAGTATAATTGTCATTTGTCTGATTAGGTCTTTCTTCCGATTTGCTTCTTTCTTGTCTTTCTTCGTATCTTTGATAGTTTACTTGTCTATTTCTTCTTTCTTCTCTTCCCCTATATGCTTCTTCTTCAGAATTTCTTCTTTGTCTTCTCTCATCTTCGTAATTATTCCTGTTTCCATATCCATTTCTTCCATTATTATTATTATTATTATTATACTGCTTTGTATTACTTCTGTTGTAATTATTATTATCATATTGTCTGTTATTACTTACATAATTATTATTACTGTATTGTCGATTGTTATTATATTGTCTATCACTATTATTATATTGTCTATTGCTATAATTCCTATTAAATTGTCTGTTGTTATAAGTATTATTTTGTCTGTTATTGGAGTCATTAAATTTTTGATCATAATTGCTATTATGTATACGGATGTCATCTCCATGGTTTCTATTGAATTTATCCTTATTATAATCCTTATTTCGTGTTCCTAAATTTCTCTCAATCCTAGTTAAATAATTGCTGAGATGTTCCATTTTCCGTATATTTTGTATAGCTATAGTCTCAGCTATTTCTGGCTTAAAATGTCTTGCTAGACATATAACTATTTCTTCTTCTGGTATTGACGGTTCTAAATATTGTACCAAAGCATACATGTGTATTGCATAATTATTCATGCTACTTCGCCTTTCATCATATTTTCCAAAGTATAAATCTTCTCTAATAGCAGCTTGTGTATTCTCACCCCAGAAATAATTTAAAAATATTTTGCAAAAGTCCTCAAAATTTTTAATTTCTGTTTCTTTACTAGAGAACCATACAAGAGGATGATTTTCCAAATGTTCCCTAACTACTTCCTTGAGATCTTCTATATTTAATATATGTCTCACTTTGTTTCCCAGAATCTTTATAAATACTTTGGGATGTATTCTTTTTATGTTACCATCAAATTTGTGGTTATTTCCACTTACAACTGATGGTACTATTCTTATTCCTTCCAGTCCTTCAATATTTCCAATTCTATCAAATACTTGTTTTTCTATAACTCTTATATCCTTAGAGAATTTTTCAATCATTTCTTCTTTATCTTTTAGTATGTTATTCTCCAATTTACTATAATCAGCCTTATGGTCACTCTGTATACCTTTAATATTATTTTCTATTCTTTCTTCTAATAGCTTTACGTCGTTATGTATTGCCATTTTTGTTTTTAAATTTTCCTCTTCAGCAATTGAAAGGTTAGTTATAATTCCTTCTTTTATATGTTCCTCTAATCTATGTATGTCTTTATTTATTTCATCGATACTTCCATTAGTTTTTCTTATTTCCTTTTCTACTAGTTCATATTTCTTATATTGTTCCTTTAATTCTTGTTCTATTATTATTTGTTTGTTTTCTATTCCATCAACTTTCTTTTGCATTTTTTCTATTCCTTGCTTAATTTCATTTTTAAGCTTTTCTTGACTTTGGTCTATCTTGTCTATTTTTTTTCCCATTTCTTCCTGACTTTTATCTATTTTCTTTCCCATTTCTTCCTGTATTTTATTTCCCAATTCTACCTGACTTTGTTTTATTTCTCCCATCATCTTTCTGAGCATTTCCATCACACTTTTCTCCTCAATCTTGCTAGTTTCCTTTTCTATTCTAGTACTTTTTGTTCTTGCTGCTTCTTCTTCCTGTTCTTCTTCCTGATTATTTTCATCCTTCCCTTCCTCACTTTCATCATTCCCAATATCATTTACGGTTTCTTCCACATTGTGTTCCCCTTTTTGTATTGTGTCCCCTTGTCCAATATCTTTAATATTCTCTTCTTCTTCTTCTTCTTCTTCTGATTGTCCAATCTTCTTTCCACCTCTTAATTCCATTTTCTTCTCCATTTTATTAACCTTTTTATTTATTTAGTCAAAACTAATATCACAATACTTTTACTTTGTTTCACTTTCACTTGTCACCTGTCACTTGTCAGTTTGACAGTTTTATTGACTTTAGAACTGCAATTTTTGCTTTACAGCCCCACGTTGGGCGCCATTTGTTATGATATACATTGTCAATTCATAACATTACAAGTAAAAAAAAAATTCACAAACTTATTTTACCTTAGCTAGCTTTTTAATATATTTTTTTTTTTTTTTTTTTTTTGTTTTTTTTAGAGCAGATTCTCTTTATCACTGTGGTGTCGGTTCAAGAAAATAAAATATTTTATAAACTTAATTTATTTAATTCAATTTTTTTTTTTTTTATTTTATTTAGTTTCTTTAATTTATTTAGTTTATTTAGTTTAGTTTATTTAGTTTATTTACTTTATTTATTGAATATTAACAACAATTCCAACAATAAAATACCTTATCTGTAATTTATATAATTAGTTAATACTATGTGTGAATATTTATTATTGTTAGTTGTATCACCCTGTAAAATTAATTTTTTTATTTTTAATAGACAAATTGTATGTACAAAAGTTCCTAATATATTACCAGTAAATTATACAAATTTCAAAAATTTTAACATCAAATAAATGGTCTATCTACTAACTTAATTAAACTAATCATTCATTCATCACCATACACACAATTACTAATTATTATTATTATTATTATAAACAATTTAGTTAATAAATTAAACCTTCCTGTAGGTACTACTTCTTTAATATTATTATTTACACCTCTATGTTATAAATCTAACTTTCTAAGTTTCAATGTGACGTTACATAAAATTTTGACATTTAATCTTCAAAATGTAACTATTTTAAATAATTTTATAATTTATAATAATTTATCTGTCTGGCATCAATTTCCAAGATTAAATATCTACTATTGAATGGTGATATCAATAGCAAAACTGTCTGTTACAATCACACACCAATACAAAATTTTCTACTCACAGGAAATAGTCCTTCCTTTTATCATATCCAATTTCACAATTTCTATTTCATCCAAGTCTGCAGTTCCAATATTTAGCTCTTAACAGATTCTCCATACAATCCTACCAATTAACTTCCACTATCCAATCGAAGGGATACAACTTGTCTATTTTTTATTTTTATTCAAAATGTTAGCACTTTTTCAAAAATAACTTTTTAAATATACCGAAGCCCTAAATTTAGGTAATGCAATTTGAAATCTTCTATCATGAAAAATCAATCCCGTCCCTTTTGATATTACTGACTTCTCTTTTATTAATTTGACATCTCCCTTCAAATTAACATTTTATGTACAGGATGATATATTTTTGTTTTAAATTTTTTTATTTACACAAATATATATTTTACTGAAAAACTTTTAATTTTAAATTTTGATGTTTCATTTCTATTACAATATATATATATATATATATATATAGTATATAGTGTGTATCTAATAAACTCAATAATCAAGAATCAAATTTGAAAAATATTTATTGGTAATACAGGGAAAATAAAAAAATATAGATTTATGCTGACGAGTAAAGTGCTTTTAAATTTAATTACAGAACAAAATGTCATTTGAAAATATTGATTGTAATTAAACATTTTGTCAAAGTTTAGATTCAAGGCCTTCTATAATAATTAATATATTTAAAGTACTTTTTTTATTTTAACTGTATACCACTAAATATTTTTCAAATTTCATTGTTGATTATTGATTTCTTTCTGATCCAGAACTTTTTATGAAAAATATTTTTTTTTTTGTAAAAATAAATAAATTTCCAATTTGTTGCCAACTTTTTATGCATTTTCAGTACATGAATTATTGTTTGAATATAAATTATTTCATCTTCATATTTGATAAGAAGTGGTAAATTATTAGAGAATTATTTACACCTTTAAACTATTTTGTAGACATTAGAACCAAAACAGCAAGCCTCATATGTGTCAGATGTACGTCAAGCTGTCCGTTATGCTATGTCAGATATGAAGGGTACCTCTGACTTACTACCTGGATTTTGCTTACCTAAAGGAATTGCACCTATTTTGCCTATCTTCAGAGAAGCAATTTTAAACGGAGATGGAGATGAAAAAGATGCTGCTGCTCAAGGTTTAGGTGAAATTATTAAGGTTACCAGTGCTCAAGCGTTACAACCAAGTGTGGTAGCGATTACTGGTCCCCTGATTAGGATTTTGGGTGACAGATTCAGTGCGAATGTTAAGACTGCTGTTTTGGAAGCTTTAGCGATATTGTTAGCAAAGGTAAACTCTTTCGTTTTTTAATGGTTATAAGTGTTAATGAATCTTTTATTTTAGGTCGGCATTATGTTGAAACAATTCTTACCGCAACTTCAAACTACTTTTGTAAAAGCTTTGAACGATCCAAATCGTGCTGTACGTTTGAAGTCCGCTACAGCCCTTAGCCATTTAATTGTTATTCATCAAAGAGCTGATCCTTTGTTTACGGAATTACACAATACTATTAAAAATACAGAAGACATATCCATCAAGTAAGTAGCTTTTATATAAATTCTTTGGAAATTTTGGTATGTTTTCACTCAAAATCTACAAATACTATAGACATTTTCAAGGTAATCCCGAAATCACCACCTAAAACCGAAAATCATCACCAAAATCACTTCGAAAATCAATCATTTTCGCCCCGAAATCAACATGATGCGGGGAATCGTGAATTACTTACCTGCTTCGTTGTTTGACGACGGCATTTTTCTTTTTCACGTGGCGCAGTGAAATTACATGTGATCGAACTAGATACCTGTTTAAAATTTCGTAGGCAAGTAAGTACATTGTCTATTGTCCATCCAGCGAGCGTTTTAGGCAATGAAAATAGCTGATTGAATCGTCAGTGTGTAGATTGAAGTCTTAAGGACACGTTGGTATCATGTGGTAGTTGGATTCGTTTAAAGGGCAAATGCCAAAAATTCTTGACACCAATTTCAAGGTCTCTCGTAAAGTTTGATATGACGAACGATATAGCGAATTGTGTATTCCTGATTATACGCAAGACATTCGAATACTCACATAAAAGTGCGAGTGGGTATTATCAATCACAAACTACTTTCGTGTGCGTATAATGAATTGACTTGTGTCATATAAAGGGTGGTCTATCTAGTGGTTTCTTTTTAATGAGATTTTTCCCATTTGTTATTTCCTGCTCGAAATCTTGACAGAAGGTTAATATCATATCTCCGCGGAACGAAATGAATCGCTTTACGCTTAAACGTTGGGAAATAATGCAAACTTATTTCCAAAGTCAATGCTGTGTAGCCCAAACAGTGCTTGTATTGAAAATAAGTTTTGGTCGAAATGGAGTACCAACCGCAGCTGATGTACGCAAGTTTGTGCACAAAGTTCGTAAGACTGGCATGCTAGTGGACAACAATCACGCACTGACGAGAATGTGGCTGCCGTGAGGGTTCGACTCAGTCCTGGAACCTCGACTGTACATCGATCTCAACAACTCAACATTTCACGCACCAGCCTGATGCGAATTTTGCACAAAGACCTCGCATTATTCGCTTACAAGGTCTAAGGACTCAGCAATTGAAGGTACACGATCAGCCGTTACGTTACCGCTTCTCAGTTTGGGCCTTAGAGCAGCTCGAAATGAACAACGATTTTGCTCGTAAAATCATCTTTTCTGACGAGGCGCATTTTCATCTCGGCGGCTATGTTAACAAGCAAACCTGCAGCATCTGGGGATCGGAAAACCCGCACGTGATCGTTGAGAAGCCAATGCATCCCCAGAGAGTGACAGTTTGGCGCGGGTTTTGGAGCGTGGCATCATTGGTCCATTTTTTTTAAATGCTGCTGGAGACGCCATTTCTGTCAACGGTGAGTGCTAAAAAGGCATGATAAACGATTTTTTGTGGCGTTGTAGACATGGACTTGGACGATCTTTGGTTTCAGAAGGATGACGCACCATGCCACACAGCCCATGCCACAATCGATCTTCTGCCCACCAAGTTCGGTAATCGTGTTATCAGCCATCTCGGCGATGTCAATTGGCCACCTCGGAGCTGCGATTTAACGCCTTTAGAATTTTTTTTTGTGGGGTATCGTGAAAGACCGATGTCATGCGAACAATCCATTAACAATTCACTCCCTTAAGGCGAATATCGAGCATCATGAGATAGAGCCAGAAACAGTCACCAAGGTCTTGTAAATTGGGTTAACAGGATGCGCTTCTGCGAAGCCAGCTGAGGCAACCACATGACTGAAAACGTGTTTCATAAAAAATGGGAATGTTTGCTCTTTCGAATAAACTAATGATATACCGAAAAAAAATATTTTTTCTTCAGTTTTTTTATTTTTAAAAAGAAACCACTATATGGACCACCCTTTATGTTTAGTTTTTAATTTAAAGGATTTTTTTTAAATAAATGAAATATACTTGTATTAGACTTAATGAAAACCTTGAAGATGCGCTTATACCATGGTTATATCAGTGCAGAGACATAATTCGTTTCAGAATAATAATTCATTTGATATTTTAAGTGCAAACATTTAGAATTTCAAAAGAATTGTGTCAATTTTTAATAAATACACTCGCCCTTTATGAGACCTCAGATTAAATATAAATTAACAGATTTCATTTATTTGGTTAATAGTAGGTTTCTGATTTTGTAAGTTTTAGTAGCTTTAGTATTTTTCTTGCGCTAGGGAGCTGTAAAATGGACATTGATAGAAGTTTATTTGTATCAGTATCTCGGGCATCAGTGTACCGATGCATTAAATAAGAAATCAGCATTGCTTTAAATGAACCAGATTATTTTTAACAGATTTAACATTTCCCAAGAAATTTTGAAGAGTTAAATATAGTCAGATAATGAAAACTGTCATTTCATGATACAAAATATTAGTATTATTTTGTCCCTCAGCGTGTCATTTTAATATACTTGTAACGTTGTCAAAGGGTGAATGTAGAACATTCGCAATGAATTGCGAAGGGGTCTCAAGAATCTCATTTTAGGAAAGTATGCGTAAGTAAACCCTTTGCAAGGTTGAGTATACTTGTAATTGTGAAGGATGTCAAGAATAGCGTTGCAGGGTAGCCGTTTTCTCTCTAAATAGTTGGTAACAAGTTGCTTGACCTCGACAGTAGCATGCTAAGCAGTTCTGGGTAAACTAATCCCGTCAGTAACAGTCGATAAAATAGGACCCTACTATGTAAAGCGATTTAAAAAGTTGAGGGCTTCAAAATTTGATATTTGAAGCAGTGGCGGCTTGAAATAATTTAAAAAGGGTGTACATATTTTCCAATAATTTTATCGTTTGTAAGTTCGGTTCAAAACTTTGTACAAGCGCCAATATCACTGTTATTTTTATTTGGGTTTATATTAAGTATAGTTATTATTATCAATATCATACTGTTTGCAAGCACTACAACTATTAATGAATATTGTAATATTTGTTTTGTTTTTAATACGTTGAAAACCATTTATAAACATTATTAGTTATAGTCAGCCTACTTTTCTTCATATTTTGAGAATATTTTTAAATATATATCAGGTTTTGTACCTACAAAGCTTGACATTGATTTTTATGTAAAAAATATATGAAACTTTACCTACCGCTTTTCGCTTTTATTTGTATTTAATCATTTTCATTTTAACGTACAAAAGACTAGTTAATATTCACAATCAATTTAACAAAGAAAGGTAATTTCTACTTAGGTAGTAATAGAGGGGTACCTACGTTATGTACAACTTTAAGTTTTGAATTTAAAAAACAGAGGTAATTCTAAACGGTAAATGATCACTCGAAGTTTCTGTGACACAGTCTTTAAAATAATTAAAATAGAAGCACTTTATTGGTTATAAATTTTACAACCAAATGGCCATCGACCTAGGTATTAAAATTTTGTCTGATAATAATACATAGGCGTAGAACTTGATTTTTTAAATAATTGCACCTTTAAAAATTCTACGCCAATGGAAGAAAAGGAGTTTAAGTATGAAGTTTAGATTGCGCAACTCATTTACTTTAAAAAAGGTACTCTTGATAAGACTCGATTACTCTCATGGTTTTCGCTAAATTTCTGTTTTAATAATTTAGAGTGTATAGGTTTCACATAAATATTTATTTACAACATAATCAAAATAGAGATTTTACAAAAATTGTTCAAAATGTTTACCATTTTCACGCATACAAAGATTTATACGTCGAAGAAAATTAAAATGTATCCTTTCCATAACTTCTTCGTCACCTCTAAGATTGTTTATTGCATCTTGAATACGTTGCCAGAGTTGTTCCTCATTTTCTACAGGTTCCCTGTAAACTGTGAATTTCAGATGTCCCCATAAAAAGTAATCCATCGGTGTTAGGTCTGGGGAACGTGGTGGCCAGTTTACAGGTGCGTCATTACCTCTGCCTATCCATTTGTGCGGATATTGTTCATTCAAGTGGTTTTTAATGTTTAAAGAAAAATGTGGATGAGCTCCATCTTGCATAAACCACATATCTCTCCGAAATTGGAGAGGTAAATCTTCTAACAATTCTGGCAACGTATTTTGTAGAAAATCCAAATAATTTTCTTCAGTTAATCTTCGTGGAAGTATGACAGGACCAACAATGAAATTACCAATTATTCCAGCCCACACATTAATTTTGAATTCGTGCTGAAAATGGTTTACCTTTATTGCATGCGGATTTTCAACGGCATAAACATGTTCATTATGGGTATTAGTTATACCTCTTCTTGTAAAACCCGCTTCATCGTAAAGAGAACCTTCTTGACAAAGTTTGGATCTCTTTCTCTTTGCATATTAACAAATCGACAAAAACCCAAACGAATTTGAGGATCATGGACTAATAGTTCTTGTACTGGCTTCTTATGGTATGGATATAGCAATTGTTCTCTAAGCACTTTATGAACGACATCTTTACTTACTCCTAGTTCCCTTCCAATTTGTCTGGTGCTTAATTCTGGATCTTCTTCAACACGTTCTAAAATGTCTTCTTCAACTTCAGGAATCCTTACAAAACGTTCTCTTCCATTATCAACAGTGTTGGGAGCAAAAGAACCGGTCTCCCGAAGACGTCTCTCAACAGCAGCAAAAGTTGGGTGGCTAGGTACACGACGATTTGGAAACCTTTCAAAGTACACCCTGGCACTCTCTCGAGCATTTCCTTCACTAAATCCTAATGTCAGTAACATATCGGTATATTCTGCATTGGTATATTGTACAGCCATATTAATAAACCACGCATTTGTTTTTTTAATTATTGAGTCAGATAGAACACTTTCAATCGTTAACAAGAGATTAGGTGTTAAAATATTTTTATTTAGATGAAACTATGGAAACCAACAATAAATGTTTTTGTATACGTATTGCAGGCAAATAATTAATATTCCTCAAAAAATCGTACATGACAAGAATCGAGTATTTTTGTTAAAAGTCTCGATTAGAGGTGTTGAAAAAGATATGAAAAAAGTACATTTTTATGTTTTTCATCGTATAAAATTTTGTCCGATAATAATACATAGGTGTAGAACTTGATTTTTTAAATAATTGCACCTTTAAAAATTCTAGGCCAATGGCAAAAAAGGGGTTTGAGTATGAAATTTGGATTGGGTACTCATTTACTACAAAAAAGTACCTTTAATAACACTCGATTTACTCTCATGGTTTTGACAAAGTTTGTATTTTAATAATTATTGTTTATGTTCTAAAATTACTAAAATGCAAATTTCGTCAAAACCATAAGAGTAATCGAGTCTTATCAAGAGTACCTTTTTTAAAGTAAATGAGTTGCGCAATCTAAATTTTATACTCAAACTCCTTTTCTTCCATTGGCGTAGAATTTTTAAAGGTGAAATTATTTAAAAAATCAAGTTCTACGCCTATGTATTATTATCGGACAAAATTTTAATACCATTTTTTTGCCACATAAAACTCTACCAATATACCAAATTTTAGCAAAATCGCATATGCCGTTTTAAATTTATATGGGAAAAACGATTTAAAAATTGTAACTTCAAGGCCCTCTGGAGCCCAAACGAAGCAACTTTGTACTAAGGTAATTTTACTTAAATCGACTTATTTTGGTCTAAGGAATATGTGGTATGTTTTTGTAAAGACCTTTTACAGACACCCTGTATATGTCCATATTTGGGGAGTATTTGATAAATATAATTATGAATAGTACCCAAAAATTTAACAATTTCTTTTTGGGAATAAAACAAAGCCATTTTTTAATCATGTTCCTTCAAACGTGCAAAACTATGATGAGGTTCTACAATATCTGTTCGTAAATTGGCTTCACACATTTCGCAATCAATTAGAAATGTTTGAAATGACAGGCACATGATAGGTTATAATATGGCAACACTGTGGGCCTGGTGGTTTGATAGGGTCAATGATATGGATAGTTATATAGATTGATCATCCATGTTTTTAAATACAAACAAGCATGCCTTGAAGTAAAGAATTATTTTTTTTAAATATTCAAAGACTGGAAATTGGTTTTAAAAACCGATTCAAATTGATGAACACTTGCCAGGCAATATGGCCGCTCGCAAACGATCCTCTTTGATCAATCTATGTAAATATATATGTATCATAGACCCTGTTAGTGACAACAGGCCCACAGGGTTGCCATATCTAAAATGTCAGTTCCCACTGGCAGAATTTTGACAGGTCGTTGGAATGCCTAATTCCTTTCATTCTTGTTTGTAACTACACTAACTGATGGCCTGGATATAAGTTAGTATGGTGAAGTGAAAAGGCATTAAATTCTTCAATTTCGATATTAGCCAATTCATTCTCATCAAAATAATCCTCACACAATAGTCTTCTTTTATAGGGTTGGTATAGGGAATATTTAAAATTTTGATCAATTTCTTTCTAATAGTGGGTTGCATAATAGTATATTATTTAACGAGCGGTAATGCAGGTCATAACTCACGCAGATGAAGTGAGTTATGACCATTACCGCAAATTGAATACTATACTTTATCTACGACTATAACAATAAATACTAAGATACAAGTGTCGAGAAAGAAATGTGTGTGTGTGTGAGAGAGAGAATGGCATTAGACTAAGTCTGTTTGCCACAAAATGAGGAATATATATATATATACAAAAACTTTATTAAAATGATTTTTAAAAACAAATTATATTAGTAGGTTAATTGATGATAGGAACTTAGTGAGATATGTATAAATTGATTTATTTTCAAGAGCAAGTAGGTACGTAATATTATAGGGCGGGAATATATTTATATTAATGAGCATTTTATACAATTGGATAATTGAATTATAATTGTTTGAACAATTGAAAAAAATATGATTAAGATCTGCAGTGGAGGAACTATTACATGTACATATAGGGGAATCCAGTAGACCAATTTTAAAAAGATGGGCAGGGAAGCGCCCATGGTTAAATTTCAACCTTGTAATGTTCCCAGACTGGAATTTATTTAATCCAAATATATCAATATGAGGAATTACCCTAGGCAATTCTTTATGGATAGTAAAATAGTGATTATTAGAGTTGAAGCTGTATTTTTTGTAATTTGCTTCCCAGTTTTTTCTTATTTTTTTTTTATATGTATTTACTAAATCTTGAATAATTGACTAGATGATAAAAACGTTTGAATCTTTGTAAAAGCTATTACCTTTGTCGCCAGATATTTCTCATGAGGAGCTTCATTTATGAAATTATTAAGTTGTTCTGGCATAAATGTTTTTGCCTTTTTAGCTGTATGTTTCTTTGATTGACGTTTAAGAAACGCACATAATTTTGAATAATTCTCTATATTAATTCCATTATTTATGTTGAGTGTGCTTCTTACAAGGAGTAGAAAGTCCATAGAGACGATGCTTTATATTTATTGCTAAGTTCATTAAAATATGCCAAAAGTACATTTTCTGTAAACGAGTTACACCAGTCTTGAAAATTTTAGTATACTCCTTTATACTTGTTTTTTGATTTTTCTGGTAAAAAATTCTGTATTGCATTATTATCTCTCTTATTTCTGGAGGTATACATAATAACTTATCTTCACTATCTAAATTCATCTTTTTTTTGGCACTATTATTAGAAAATGATTTGAAAACGTCAAAAATATCTTGTTAATATTTCAAATGACATTACTCCCCTCAATGTAATAATTGAGTGTTCCGCCTACTGAGAGGCGTTGACAATTTAATAATTTTAAAATCTTTTAATTATTATTCATTCCTTTCCAGTTGTTAAAAAATGTTTCTAACATTTTACGCCAATAGAACATTTATCGACATTAAAATTTCCAAGAATTTACTGCGCACACTATTTATATACCGAATTATCGTAGGAGCCCAGCGTGAGTTATAATAACTCACTATTATAACTCACGCTTTTTGTTTATTGATACTATAAATGTTCAAAAGCACTTGAATAATTAATATATAAATTAATAGGAGTAGATAAAACAAGAATAATTTTAAATCCAGAATAATACATTTATCCATTTTTTTTTGTTAACTAAGATAATGTCATGTAAATGACAACTAATGCCAATTATTATTTTTATGATACACTGCAATGTTATACCGTGGTAATTAACTTCTGTTTATGGTTGTTATGGGAGTCATAACATTTTAACAACAGTTATGTCTGAATTGTCAGTTATAAAAAAAACCGATAAATATTAATTTTTTAGGGAAACAACTTTACACGCATTGAGGGGTATAATGACTCCAGCAGGAGACAAAATGTCAGAACCAGTAAAAAAACAAATTCATGCAACTCTGCTAACTTTTTTGGGAGTGCCTGAAGATACTATCAGAAAATGTGCAGCAGGTTGTTTAGGAGCCATTTGCAAGTATTTACCATCAGAACTATTAGATTCTACATTGACAGATCACATTTTATGTATGTATTTTCTTTATCACAAATAAGTCGTGAAGAGCCATGTTTACTAAAAATTGTGTTGAAATTTTTAGGCGATGATAATTCTTTAAGCAACACCTTGAGAGAGGGTAGAGCATCAGCACTAGCTGTCGCTCTGAAAGAAGCGCCAGAACGTTTATGGGATGAACAATATAAAACAAAATTGACACAGGCGTTACTAAGTCAATTATCCGCTCAATCAGTAGCCTTAACCCAAATTGCCATACGATCTTGTGGATATTTGTTGCAGTATTTGTTAATGAAAGAAGAAGTGATACCAAATAATTTGTTAGTTCCTTTTGTTAGGGTAAGTTTGAACTATTTTAGCCATAGGATACAGAAGCAAAATTACTTTTAGACAAATATTTTCTTAAAAACAAATAAAAACATAAATACAAAAAAAGTAAAGGTGTCATTAAAGGTATAGTTAGGTATGTTCCAATAACGATCAGAAACCAGTCATTGCCACCAGATTGTACGCAGTATGAATTTGGCGCTCTAAATAATCTACTGCGCACAATCCTGGTGTTAATGAGACTGGTGTCGGATCGTTGTTGGGACAAATCTGTCGTATTAAACAATAAGCCAACTATAAAGGAATACTACAAAAGAAAGAAAAAAAATCGGCCCTGTTTGAATAATCCAAAAAAATTGATATAGGGAATGGGTTATTTGTCAAAAATCAGCAAATCGACCTCTCTTAGATTGCCTATTTTTACTTTTCTGCCTGTGTGTATACAGATAAGGAAATTATAGGAATCCTGATTTTTTTCGAGGGATTTTTACGTTTTGGGGTCCCCTGAATCCGTTTTGACTATTTTCGCGATGATGTGTGCCTGAGTGCGTACGAGGGTGGGTGCGTGGGTGGGTGCGTGCGTGTGTACTCGATAACTCATGAACGGATAAAGAGAAATACACCAAATCAGACAGGAAAGTCGTGTGTTGGACACGTCAGATTTGAAAATAAACCAAAAATCAGCCATAAGAAAATAATTCACGCGCATGCCTTCTCACGCATTACTTTAAAACGTTGCGAGAGAAAAAATGTCCCACTTTACGACTACAGCTAGCAACTTTCAGCAACATACTATATGGCAACTGTTTGTAACAAATTGCCATGGTATGGATGTTTGTTACTAGGATAGTTTAAAAAAACAAAATTCGCCTAAAGGTATTTAAGCTGTCTGGCATGTAGAGCTTAATTATAATTCTTAACAATATTACCTAATGTATTGTTACGCAGGTTTTCGGTAACTCAATTTATTTTAACTCGACTTTACAATTCAATTATATAACTGATAACATGAACGTATGACGTCTATCATAAAACTGAAACTCTGATGTCAGGATCATCGACTTATACAGCTCGCCTTAACCTTCTAAAACCTTCTTGGATTTTTCTTGACAAGGAATGGCATTTCCAGACATTTCTGCATTGGGATTCTCATCTTTTAATTCGGCACGTGTTGAGACGACTATCTTTTTTCCACACAATGCGATTCGTATTCAATTCGTTACGTGTTGAGTACGCACATAACAATCCCTATCCAGGATGAGTGACCGCTGGTAAGGTTCCACCACGGGCCGTGTCACCGTGGGACTTAGCCGACTAGCGTTTAACCATCGACGACGTGGAATGAATGACAGTGAATGAGGGAGTGAATTGGTGAATCGGAAAGTAGTAGAACTTTCAAATGGTGGTACAATAAGCCGCAGGCTGCCGTGTCGTGTGGCTACCTACAGATTAAGGTAATATATGGTAGTTCAGAAAATATCTGATTCTAAAAACTTCTTGAGGGAGTAGGTATATTTGGTTATTTGAAAAAATATTGAGATGGTATTGCTTCAAGTTTTATTTCCGTTTCCAAAAGTTTCAAATAAATTTTCATTAAAATGATCTGACAAATGTTTTCTTGCACAATAAAGTCATCAAATGGTCGCTCTAGGCTGTTAACCATTATTTCAAAAAAAAAAAAACATTTGGTATGTTATCAGAAATAATAGGAGATATAGCTTCATTGTTAAAATATAATATTCGTGACGCTGACATCGATACCACAGTCGATACGGTCCAGTTGTAGATGAGGAGTGCAGAGACATGTCGTGTGAGGTATGGGAAGGGATAAAATGATTAGTCGGCCGTACAAAACAATTTTATCAATGAATATATGTGTAAGTCATTGTACGCCCATAATAAACAACGTACAATATGCAAGCCCTGTTGCCTTATTAACTAGGTTTTGGAATTAATCGAAAATGATTACATCTAATTTAGTTAAATTTGATATAACTAATGATTCAAAATTTTTTGGGTTCAGTTGCAATAAAATGTATTGAATTATTTTAGCTTTTTTAAATCAAACTGATCAAAAAAAATGAAGGATATTGTGTATTCAATATGAAGGAATTTTTCTAAAAAAAAAAGTGATATAGCTATTAATACATGTCATTTGCGTTTAAAAAAATGTTATTTGTAAACATATAAAATTGTGCCCAAACAGATAAAAAGCATTATCACAAAAAAATGTAGATTTTATTTTTGTAAAGTTTAGTTTTGTTTGTGTGCTGCTAAGCACAGTTTGCGATATTGTGGTCATTCTGCTATCGACAAAATGAATAGACATCATTTAACAGTAGAGGCAGCAAATCAAGCTATTGGATTGCTTCTTGGAGATGTGGGACAGATCGATGTGGCTGATCGGTATAATGCCTCTCAAAGTGTAATTTCTCGACTTAATAACCGATTTTATGAGATTGGATCTGTCATGGACAGGCATAGGGAGGGTAAACCAAGATCGACAAATGCCAGGTAAGACCAAAGATTAGTGAAAGGAGCCAGGATGGATCCTACAACAAACTGCACGTTGCTCAGCCAGTACCTTTTCGCTGCCAGCCGAATTCGTATTACCCCTCGGATAGTTTTAAACCGATTAAATGAAGCAGGTTTACGTTGCTATAGGCCTATAAGACGCCCTCCACTGACCGCAGTACATAAAGGCAAGTTCTTCCACATCTGTGGGATACCTTGGATCAAAATAATTTGGATCATTTAATTTTAAGTATGCCTCGACGAGCTGAAGCAGTAATAGTCAATAGAGGTGCAATTACACGCTATTAATATTTTTTTCTTTTTGATAATTGTTTTTTTAAACTATTAAAGAAAAGTCGCCTGTAAATTCTAATTAAAACATTTTTTCAGTTAAACAAATGTGTTTCATTTTTAAAAAAAGATGGGAGTAAATATACGTTATAAAACTTTTTTCGAAAATTAGTTTTTCTCAGTGAATTCACTATATCCTTAACTTTTTTCGATCAGTTTATGTAAATAATTTTGTAAACAAAACGAGAATAATGAAATAGGTATGACAACAGCAGATATTATTCCCTCCCGTGTCCCTTAGAACATGTTTTGTTCACAACAGCATGATATTTGTTTGCAGTTACATTTTCTGTTACCTCTGTATGGTATACAATAAAACTTACAAATTATTTCATTAACAGGACAAATAATAATATGTGATAAGTTCACATATGCAGCGAACCTGTTTTGTCAGTAGTGCCAACTTAAAACTCAGTTTCCATGGCATTATCAGGGGATTAACACTTTTTACTTATAAATTTTAATGAACGTTGTTGCAACTGGTTAGTTGATTATTATTTTGTACTATCATTTCAAACCATTTCAAAGACATTTTTTCTTCTTGGTTTATATCTAGATATTCCTTATTAAAAAGCCATACATGTATATATTTTTTTTATATTTTAGTTTTGTTTCTCATGCAATATGTCTTCAGTCTTTAAATTCACGAACATTTTTTTTTTTAGACGATGAACAATAACAGCAATGATGTAAAACAATTACTGGCTAGGGTGTCTTACCATTTGGCGAAAATTCTTCCACAAGAGAAACTATCACCAGATCTCCTTAAACTATTATTACCAACTTTAGTAAATGGAACTAAAGAAAAGAATGTATACGTTAAAGCGAATTCAGAAATTGCTTTGATAGCTGTTTTAAGGCTGAAATATGGCGATACCATGCTCCAGGTAAGAAACTATAGACGACTAGCTGCTGCTATTGCAATAATTTAGTTGCTTTAGTTAAAACATTATTTGGACGTAGTTATGCAGAAATGATCCAATCCACAAATCTACCAGAAATGACTTGAGTAGCTTTTCGATATGTTACAGTCCAAAATTATATTCTGCTAAAACGATCCAACAATTTAGAAGGATATTAATAGTGAAAATCATAAATACTCGCTATATATTCTATGTTCATCGCATAGAGAATTTAACTTTAAACATCATTTTTCTCAAAATATGGTTTAGGTGGATTGGATCATTTCTGCATAACTACGTCCATTTATGGTTTTCCCGTGAACATTATACAGTGTCACAAAAATTCTGCACCAAAAAACACGAAATTTCTGGACTTTTGTAAACTTAAAAACAAAATGGTATACCAAGTAAATGCAATTCAATGTAATAGTAAACATGGTTGCCAAGTATTTTGCATCAGTATATTCTGATCGCACTTATGAAATTCCCAATTCTTCTCTCTATGATACTGGTAATATCAACCTCTTTAGTCACAGAATTTCAATTGATTTGAAATTAAGCAACCAAAAAATGTAGTTTTAATCTCGCTAAGCTATTACTTTATATATTTAACAAGTCCCTAAGTACTGGCATTTTTCCTAGTTCAAGGAAAACAAGCTATATAACTCACAACTTTAAAAGTGAAGATAAGTCTAATGTCTCTGTCGTCCAATTAATATCCTAGTACCGTACCCAAACTTTTTGAGAGTATTTGTGACATTCTTACCCCTTCATTTAAAAATGTTTTAATTGACCAACATTATGGTTTCCAGTCTTCCAAATCCACTGAGCTTAATCTACTCATTTACCACGATTATCTATCTAATGCCTTGAAAAAAGGAGTTCAGGTAGATGGATTTATCTAAGGCATTCGAATGCATTAATCATGAAGCTTTGTTTTACAAACTTAAAACTCTAGGCATAAATGGTTCTTTCCTTAGATGGCTGAGGACTTATCTTACTGGCCGAACACAAATTGATAGGATACCTAATTTCAAATCTATAGAGATAAAAGGAACATCAGGTTTCAGGAGAAACCAATTCAAAGGTCACAACCAGCCATGAATCCCACGCCACAAATTGCACAGCATACTGCACAGTCAGCCAGCTTAGCAGAAATTACCACTCATGAATTATTATTATCCTTAATAACCAGAATAGATTCACTTTCTGACAGGCTCCAGAAGCTAGAAGAATTAAACCCCAAACATATAACAAAACCACCAATGGATAAAAGAGATATTAGAATAGCCACTTGGAATGCCAATGGTATTCTCCAAAAACAAACTGATATCCAAGTTTTCTTAGACATACAAAAATAGATATATGTCTAATTTCTGGGACCCACCTTACATTAAATTCAGAGGACATAACTTCTATCACACTATCCATCCATCAAATGCAGCAAGAGGATTAAGTGCGTTAATTATTAAAAATAACATTTCCCACCATGAGGAACCAGGCATCCAAGAACCAGAAAATCAGGTAACCATTAGCACCATTAACATTAAGGGGGGCAAAATTACAATAGCTGCAATCTATTGCCCACCAACATACAACCAGAAAAAAGAAAATTATCTCAATGTACTCAAAAAACTAGGTAACAAATTTATAATCGGTGGAGATTACAACTCCCAAAAACACCAACTGGGGTTCAAGATTAACCACAGTCAAAGGAAAAGAATTGCACGGAGCTGCATCAGAACTTGGTTGTACATACCAATCTTCTGAAAAACCCACCTATTGGCCCACCGACCCAAATAAGATTCCAGACCTTTTGGATTTCTTTATTCTGAGGAAAATTTCACCAAACTATACACAAGTAGAAGAAAACTTTGATATGGATTCAGACCATTCTGTAGTAATCCTTCCTCTAAGTGATAATGTTCTTCAAAAAGGGGCCAAACCAACCCTAGCAAATCGGAAAACTAATTGGGAAGGTTTTCAAGAGGACTTAACAAATACACTATTCAACTGACCATAATACTGAAAACCAAAAATAATTTATGTTTAATTTGTGATTAAATTGCTGATTTCAATCATATAATTTTAGAGTGTGTCCTAAATTCGCTAGATACTGACACAATGTACTTAGAATTAGTTATTAGGTATTTTGATAGCTAGTCAAAATATAATAATAATAATGTAATCATGTAACAATAGTGGATAAAACAATTAAAGAATTATGGATTACTACAATAGTCTGGCCTTTTAATTTTATCTAGTGCCATTAAAAAAAAACTGGAAAGGTTTATAGTTGAAATCCAGCAAGCTGCATGGAGGAACTCGCCAAAAGTAAGAAGATTAACTGCTGGAAAAAACTATCCTGTCGAGATAAGAGATCTGGTAGCAGAAAAAAGAAAACTAAGAAAGAAATGGCAGATGACAAGATCACCAGAAGATAAAAACATCAAATAGGGCTACCCAAAGGCTGAGAAGAGAAATCCTGAATCACAAAGAAGAATCCTTCAACAGATACCTAGTAGGGCTAACAGATGATAAAGAATCTGATTATTCACTCTGGAAGGCAACTAAAGAGATGAAAAATTCGTGTAAACACTGTCCTATCAGAATAGCAGATAACAAATGGGCAAGAGACAATCAACAAAAAGCTGATATTTTCGCTGACCACCTACAAAAGACGTTCCAATTAGATGAAAATCAAGACACTCCTAATGAGACCATCCATAATATGGAACAACATGTAATTAGGCTAGTTACTCCCAATGAAGTTACGAAAGACATTCAGACAAACATAAACTTACAGAAAGCCCCAGGATATGACCCAACTCCTGGAGAAATAAAGAAACTACCACGGAAGGCTATTGTTAAATTGACATACCTTGTTAATGCAGCGTTTCGCCTTAATTATATACAAGGAAAACCTCAGAATAAAGTGTCATCATATAGACCTATATCATTGTTACCGATAATATCTAAGTTATTTAAAAAACTACTACTAAAACGACTAAAACCAATAATTGATAATATAAATCTGATCCCTTCGTACTAATTTGGTTTTAGAAACAAACATTCGACAATATCAAGTACACAGGATAGCCGATATCATCGAAAAAGCTTACGAAGGAAAATATATATGCTCAGCTATATTTCTTGACGTAGCCCAAGCATTTGACAAGGTTTGGCACGCTGGCCTATACAGAAACTTGAAAAAAACGCACCCTAGACAATATGTCGACATTCTACAATCATATCTAACGGGAAGAATGTTTATAGTAAAATAAGACGAGGCATAGTCCGAAATGAAAGAAATTAAAGCAGGTGTCCCACAAGGCAGTGTGCTAGGATAGGTTCTTTACCTATTATACACCAGCGATATCCCTCAACAACAATGTGTTAAAATAGCATCATTTGCGGATGACACTGCAATATTGTCAGTTGGCGGAACTAACACAGAGACCTCAGAAAAACTTCAGGAAATCTGCAACAGAATCAATTGATGGGCAAAAAAATTTGAAAATAAAAATAAATCAAACTAGCACTGATTTAGTTGATTTTACTCTTCGACCAAATGAACAAAAACAAATAAGAATAAACAATGACGTTATTCCGCATCACGATTCGGCCAAATACCTAGGGGTGAACCTATGAGTTTGTTCCAACACAATAGCAAATCGGTTTACGTACTGTCGGGATTCTGCGCAGTCTAGAATTTGTGTTCCAACAAACTTCGGACTCACAACTGTACAAAAACCTATTGATCCAACACACCCAAATCTAATCACAAACTAGTTTCTGTACTGTCAAATCAGTTCCTGTGTCTGAATAAGAACGAAATGTCAAACATGCGCAAAACGAAAGTGAGCTCGTAAATAAAGCACGCTCAGCTGTGGAAATTTCGTCATTATATTTGTTTTAATATTATCGATGGCAGTCTCGATCCAAGGATTATATACTATTATTGATCGTAATTTGGTTTGACAATAAAAAAATGTGTTCCAACACATCCCAGTTCCGAATAAAGTACCAATCCTTGACAGGTGGTGGACAGGTCGTAGACTATCAGTCGTCGACAATAAGTTGTGGACTGGTTTATGTACGGTTCCAAGATTGTTGTTGGAACAAACCTTATATGTAAGACCTAAATGGAAAGAGCACATAAAAAAAGCGTGAAGAACTTGAACTTAAATTCAAAAAAATGTATTGGCTCCTAGGAAGAAAATTCAAATTGTCAGTGTACAACAAACTGCTGATTTATAAACAAATTCTAAAACCAATCTGGATTTATGGCATACAGCTATGGGATGTACCAGCAAGAGTAATATCAACATGATACAAGTTTTCCAAAATAAAGTCCTAATATGCATTGTTGATGCACCTTGGTTCTATCGAAACAATTATCTTCATAGAGACCTGAAGATGCCAACAATCGAAGAGGAAATAAAGAGCTTTGCTGCGAAACATGAGGGTCGACTCCACTCCCACGTCGACAAAGAAGCGCTGCAATTACTGGACAACTCTACACTCAACAGAAGGCTCAAAAGAAAGAAGCCATTTGAGCTAGTACAGTGAACGTTAATGTTAGTGCTAGTGTAAAACAGTGTAATAAATCGTCACGCCAACTTGTGATGTTTTCCCATAGAAACAATTAAGAAAGCCCAATGGGGACTTCTTAGATAAGTAATTAGTTTATAAGATTTTTAGATTAAATTGTAGGTCAGTCAGTAATGACTAGTAACAATACTCTAAAAAAAAGGTTTCCCTTAAGGATCACACTTAGGGCCAAGCCTCTTTAACCTGATTATTAACGACATAGCGGAGTGCTTCTTTCATTCAAAGTTTTTGCTTTTTGCAGATGATTTAAAATTATATAAAACGTCTTTATGCTATCAATGATATTCATTTGCAGAAAGTTGAGACTATAAAGGATCTAGATGTGACCTTTGATAAATCACTTAACTTTATTCCCCACATCAACTTAGTGATAATCAAATCTCTTAAAATGCTCGGTTTCGTTAAACGCAATACACAAGACTTCTCAAATATCTGCAATAAAACTTTTATATGTATCATTAGTTGGACCTCGCCTTTAATATGCTTTTTGTCTATGGTTCCCTTGCTATTAACAAATTGGAGCAAATTCAGCACAAATTTCTGCGATATGTTTCATACAAGTTAAAACTTAACCTCACCGAATATAATGAAATCGAATCCATGTTGAGTCTAAAAACCTTAAAGTCAACGAGAGCTACAAAAGATCTCGTGCTCCTGTATGATATTCTAAATTTTACAAAAAAATGCTCTGACCTTCAATTAAATATTCCCTTAAAGAGCAACGAACTTGTTCTACTTACAAGCTAGTAATACCAACTACACAGAAAACTCATATTTGAGCAGATCAATGAAATTGGCCAATTCGATGTCTTCAACAATAGATTTTTTAAATTGAACATTTATGAGGAGATATAACTTATTAATTTATTATTATATGTACACTTGTTAGTTTTAAGTTTGTATCTTTTATCCAAAGTATAAAGATATTGGGCACTGCCCGTTAATAATAAATAAATATTTATGAAGTTTGTATTGGGTTTTAGGTATTGTGGTTCATGTCTGACTTATAGTTCACGATACATGCCACACCTTTTGATGAAAGCTATGGTTTAATTAGGTGAGAAAAACGGTCGGCTTCAGTCAGGTGAATCCGAAGATCTGGAATTTAGTTCTTTCTAGAGTGGAGCAGGTTTTTTAAATGTGTTCTGCGGATTCGTCTTCCACTCTGCAGAATCGACGTTTGTTGAAGACCTATCCTTCTTATGTGGTTTTACTTAGAGGACAATGGCTTGTCATCAGTTCCGTGAGAATGCATAGATCTGTCCTCCTCTATTCCCGGATCTGAATAGAGG